CCAAGTGTGCTTTAGCGCGACGCAGAACGGCGTGTACTTTGCCGTGCGGCGCGCGGCGGCCGCGTACGCCAACCCGAGCTGTCCGCTGAGCTGCGGCGCCAACAGCAGTCTCTGCGTCTTCAACGCGACGACGAGCGCCGCCGAGTGCGTGTGTCAGTGCGGCTACAGCGGTGTCTTGTGCACGAGCGGGTGTCCGAATGGCTGCTCGGGCCAAGGCACGTGCTATGAGAACGCGTGCTATTGCAACGCAGGGTTTACCGGCGTCGACTGCAGCAACTACTACTGTCCCGTCGACGCGTCGGGTCGGCCGTGCTCCAACAACGGTCTCTGCGTCCAGGTACGTACATATAATGGTCGATCGGAAAGACACGGCGTTTATCGTCGGATCGTAGGGGCGTGCGTGTGCAGCTCCAACTATCAAGGGGCCGTGTGCGACACGCCGCAGTTTGCACTTTTGAACGGGTCGGCGCCGCCGGACTATGTGAGCAGCTACGTGGCGCCACCAGCGGTGAACACGACGATGCCGCCGTTGCAGTTGACACCAACGACGTCACCGTTGGCACCCACGACGTTACCGTTGACACCGACGACATTGCCTATGGTGGCAGCACCGACGACGCTACCAGCGCCACAACCTGGTGCGAGTCCGTCGACGGGTGACGTCGGCAAGGCAAACCTGCCACCGGTGCCAGCAGTGACCAAAGAGGCGGGAGCGACACCAGCTCCCTTTACGTGGCCCCCGTTCTTTTGGCCTTGGAACCGTGACGTGAGCGAAAACATGGACACGATTCTCTAGAGTGCGCTTAAAGTGGACTTGTCTACCTCCTCTAAAACGATAATGACAATCGTCTGTGTTTCAAGGTAGGAAGCACGATGTATTCACACAGTTGACACCACGCTACACGACCGCGTTGCATATGCTTGACTCCAGTTTGGAGACCCTACTTGACTCCATCTTGGAGACCCTACTTGACTCCATCTTGGACATCCTTCGGGCTGCGATAGGCCGTCGTACCCCGTGCGGATGCCACGTCATCAACCGTCATCAAGCCGTGTAGCCGGATGTTTCACCTTTGATTGGTCAAAATGTCCTTCAATTCAGCCAATCCAGCGCACGATAGCGTCGTTTTCGTCCGAATATCGCATGCACTCAGCACGCATGATGGCAGAGGTGGCGGGCCGCGGCCTGCGCTGCTGCCTGCTGCTGCTGCTGCTCGCGATCGCTGCGACGCAGGGCGTGATGCACTGGACCGAGAAGCAGCATCTCCAGGACAAGGCCAAGGAGATGTTCTTCCACGGCTACGACGCCTACATGACGCATGCGTTCCCGTGGGACGAGCTCAAGCCGCTGAGCTGCCAAGGCCGGCGCTGGGACCGCCGAGAACGTGGCGACTTGGACGACGCGCTTGGCGGCTTTGCGCTCACGGTATGCGTCGTCTTTCTATACGCGTTAACCGCAGTGGTTGTAGCTCATTGACTCGCTCTCGATGCTCGCCATTGTCGACCGCGACCGATTCGTCGAAGGAGTCCAGCAAGTCATCGAGACGGTAGGCTGCGCTTGACGTCTTGAGCGCTCACGCCGTTTAGGTCTCGTTTGATCGGGACGTGACCATCTCCGTGTTCGAGACGACGATTCGCATCATCGGCGGCCTCCTCTCGGCACACATGCTCGCGTCGCCAGAGTCTCTCTTGACCTAGTGTTCCTTCCAAGCTAACAAGGATCTACGTAGGCATGTCGGCCTCATGCCTGTTGGCTACAACGACGAGCTCCTTGGCTTGGCCGTCGACGTTGGGCAGCGGCTATTGCCCGCCTTTGACACGCCCACGGGCATTCCACGCCACCGCATCAACCTCAAGGTACACCACCTTGGGCCTCCGACTCCTCCGACAATGCTGCTCCAACGACGTACATGTCTAGTACGGTGTACCCCGGGGCACGACCGCCGAAACGTGTCCCGCGGCCGCGGGCTCGCTCCTCCTCGAGATGTCGCTGCTTTCTCGGTAGACTGCGCTTGCATGCGGCGAGTCTGGATGGAAATCGTAGGCTCTCGGGCATCCCGGCCTTTGAAAAAAGCGCCAAGAGCGCGGTCTTGGAGCTCTGGGAACGGCGCTCGGAGCTCCACTTGCTCGGAAGCACAATCAACGTCGAGACGGGCAGCTGGGTGCACACCCACACTGGCATTGGCGCCGGCCTGGACTCGTTCTACGAGTACCTCATGAAGTACTACGTGCTCTCGGGTGACACCGACTGGTTTTACATGTTCAACCAAAGCTACACGAGCATTGAAGCGCACATGCTGCACGACGACGGGTACCATTTCGAGGTCGATATGAACTTTGGCAAGGACGCGCTGCGCTATCGACGGGTCTCGGCGCTGCAAGCCTTCTGGCCTGGTCTTCAAGTGCTTGCGGGGGATGTGCACGGTGCGATCCACTCGCACGCGCGCCTCTTTGATCTCTGGAACCAGTTTGGTCGACAATCTTTCAACAACATGACATGTATGGCAATGTCGTATTCAACTAGGCGCGCTACCCGAGCTCTACGACATGGCTGGTGACGGTGAGCTCATCCGGTGGGGCCGCCATTATCCGCTGCGTCCCGAGCTCGCCGAGAGCACGTACCACTTGTACATGGCGACAAAAGACGAAAAATACCTCAAGGTCGGGCGCAAGCTGCTCTATGACATCGAAGAGACGTCGCGCGTCGCGTGTGGCTATGCAGCCGTATGTCGAGTTGCTCTCTCGACCGAGAAATGTATGGTTTTCTAGGTGGCCAACGTGCAAGACAAGTCGCTCGAGGACCGCATGGACAGCTTCTTCTTGAGCGAGACGGTCAAGTACCTCTACCTCCTCTTCAGCAACGACTCGAGCGTGATCGTACCAAGCCACGATACGACACCCGACGCAACGTACAGCAACATGTCGTTGGCCGTGCCCTCGTCCAAGGTCGCGTCGACTTGTCTTCATTTTTATCATTTCAACTTTGATGTTTTGGGTGGCAATAAGCCCATGGATGCTGACGAAAACGACCGTGTGTAGGTGGTCTTTACGACCGAAGGCCACCTCTTCTTTGTGATGCCCCACCTCTTTCAAGACGCGGCGTCGATGACCCAAAAGCAAAAGCACGCACCGACGTTCCGGACCTGCCGCCGACCGTCGCGCCGGGCACCAAAGACGGCCGCCAAGGTGCGGCGGAGGCTTCTCCCACCTCGCTTGACATGGTGTACCTAGCGGGCAGTCTACGCCCAGGCCGCCGTCTCGGTGCGCGTCGGCGACCTCCATCTCATGACCTTTCCGGCCGCTCCCGCTCAGTTTGGTCACTCGCTGCAGGTACTTTCTAGTTTGTCGTCCACTACACGGACCGATGTAAAGGGCGGATGTGACTAGCTTGATGGCCATGTGGATGGCCCCGTCTTTGCGGCCTTGGACGCTGTGGAGTACGCGTGCCACGACTTGTCCTCGCTCGTACTCACCATGTGCTATGGGTAATGTCGTGTTGATGTGTATGCGTCTAGGCTGCGTCGCTGCGAGGCAAGATCGTCGTTGTCAAGCGCGGCCAGTGCTCATTCACGCGGAAAGCCCTCCACGTGCAAGCTGCTGGCGGGGTTGGCATGATTGCGGTCAACACCAAGGTCGAGCGCAAGGCCACCAAGTGGCAGCGCTTGTACAGTCTCTCGGTGCGTCAGTCTTAATTGCGTCGACAGACACGAAGGTCGACCGATTAGGACGACGGCGCCGGCGCCCGCGTGCACATTCCGGTCGTCATGATCTCGCGCCGCGATGCCATGCTATTCCACGAGGAAATGGCCTCGCTCGGTGTGCACACTAGCAACGTCACGCTTTCCCTTGCGACGCTTTTGACATAAGCCCTCGAATAGAAACATGCATAGTTCAATGTACTGAAACCAGGGTGATGGAAAATATGTCACTCGTCGTCGTCAAAGATGGTCAAGTCGACCTTGATCTTGTTGCCCTTGGCGAGCTCATCGTCATCGTCGTCTTGGATCAAGTAGACAATCTTGTTGACGAGGAACCTAGGATAGAGAAATGTACCAGTCTATCAACTTTTAAAGAATCGCAGGCGTACTTGGCGCGGTCGAGTTGCAACTGAACGTCCTCGGGCACGTCGTCGACGAGAATCGTCAGCGCATACTTGACCATGAGCACAGCGTGCTCGAGCGCGATGAACGCAATCAGCTTGGTCGCGTCCGAGAGGCCGCTGAAGGTGGTGTGCGACGTGAAGATGGCGGCCGCCACGTTGGTCATGACCGAGATGACGCCGAGGATTTCGAGGATCGTCATCCACGTGCCAATGTCTTCGGCGCCTTTTGGGTCGGGACGGCGCGACTCTTTTGCGAGTTTGAACGCGTCAATCCGAATCTCAAAGTAGTTGTTGAGCAGCGCGAGGAACGGCGCGAGCGGAAACGAGATGACGAATAGCGTAATGTACCTAGACCACACAATATTGTCGTTCGCTTCATCCACAATGGATCGATCCAACGCACCCGAATTGAATGATCATCTCGTTGTAGTCGCCAAAGACAGCCATGTCGTCGTAGTGGCCAAGCGCCATTTGCTTTTCCGCTGACGAGATAAGACGCCGCCCGACGCCGTCACCGTCGGCGCGCCGACGCTTGCAATGTCGTTGAAGGTACGGCAGTACGGCTTCGAAAAAGTTGCCCGATCTAGTCATTGATCCCGTGAGACTATCGCGATTGGTGCCGTGTAGTACGTGAGGCGGAGGCCAAAGATGATGCCGAGCGCGACCATAAGATCGTAGATGCAGCCGCCGGCATCGTCGCCCGAGCACCCGTTGACGTAAAACTTGATAAAAGCAATGTAAAACAGACTTGCGTACGAGTTGACAAACTGAAAGAGGAAGGCCTTCGCGATCAAGTTGTCTTCGTACTGCGTCTGCGTACGGTGGTTTTCTAGTTTCCGATTCAGATTCCAACGTTCCATCTCAATGAAAGTGTACCATAGTTGTTGAGGCGCACCGCGATCGTCATGTAGATGCCGTTCATGACCTGAATCTGAACTACAAAAAGGATCCAAATTGAGATTCGAGATCGAGACGAAGCACCGTACTCGCATTGAGCGTCGACGCGATGGGCGAGTCGAGTGGAATCGTCTTGTTGCCAACGGTGATGGTCGTATACGGGTAGAGCGGCTGGTCGGGCTGGGCAAAGTATCGGAAAATGAAAATGCCGGCAACAGCGCCAACCACAAGCAAGACAAGTGCAAAGATGAAGAGCAGCGACGAGAGCATGCGCTGGCGCTGCTTCTCGGGGCTAAAGTAGCGCATCTTGCTGCCGTCGATGGGCGACGACACTTCGGCGCCTTCAAATTCGGCGCGGTCTTCCTCGTCGTCTTCGAACCCGTCCATGCCCCACTCGAGACGAATGACTGCGTTACGGCGCTTCCAGTACTCGAGGTAGAACCTATTGCATAGACGAAAATAAGACCAAATAAGATCATAGAATCAAATAGAACGTACGTGCCCCAGAGCGCCATGAAGAGGCCAAAGACGCCAAGCAGGCGCGCGTCGACTGTGCCTTCAATGACAATATCGGCTAGCATCAACATGCCGACGATTGACGGCGCAATGAGCCACGTCGTGTAGTGGCCTAGTAGTCCAGATGTTGAGAATCAATGTTTTAGTATGTAAAATGGATTGTACCGAGCCAGACGAAGTAGAGGCCGACTTTTCACCGTAGTAATCCTTGATGTCGTTGTACGGCTGGTTCCACGGCGCACTCGACCTAGAACCGTCGTGGCCTTCGCCTATATCCCATAGATAGGGAGTGGTACCAGCGGATCCACTTGGCGTTGAGCTTGTCGCGCTCGTCAAAGTCGTGGAGCGGGAAGCTCGTGACAAGGCACTTCTTCACCTCGAGCATTTGTTGTTGAGGTGGCAGCCGCCGTCGCTCGTGTGGGCGTGGATGATGGAATTGATGAGCTTGATGCGGTCGACGCCGCGGAACGGGATCTGCTTGCCGAGTGGACCGAATTTCTTGTAGACCGACTGGAGCCGCTCGTCCATGTCGTACTAGACAACTTGTCCACATGTCGTCCACAACTCCCGTAGGTCGTACCTTGCCAAAGATGTTTTGGTACGGAGCGCGTGATGTCAGCGAGCACTCGTCGGCGATTGTGATGGGTGCAATGCCATGGCTGGGGTTGCCGGCCTCGGCCAGCTCTTTCAATGCTTTCGGGTCAAACTCGAGCTTGAGGTCAATGCGGTCGGCTTCCTTGCAGAGCCGCTGGAGGGACGCGCGAATCTATCGACAATTTTTATATATACGATATTGTCATGCGTTCAGCATATAAATATACATGCCTTGCAAAACACGAGGTCGCGCGTCGACGAGTAAAAAAGCTTGGTCTCGAGGCCAGCCCCCGCGAGCCGCTGGAGGATAAGCCGCATCGAAAACGCCGTCTGCGCCTCCGTGAGCGTGCTCTCTTCGTCATGCACCTTGAAGACAAACACGTAGTCGTAGTTGTAGCCGTGCCGCTCCTTGAACTTGTCGAGCGGCCAGTTCTTCACCTGGAGCGCCACGTCTGGCGACGCCGCCGAGCGAGGTGGTGCTTTCATGGCGGTAATTTTCGACTGGAAGAAAAAGACAGGCCAGCCCAAGGTGCTTCGAACAACTGAATAATCTTCGATTATAAAGATCGAGTGTTAGCACGCTGTCTAAAATGCATTTCAAGCACGTGTGCTCGAGGCGGATACGAACGTCTGTCGTCCAAGTTGTCTACGTGGCGTTGGCCAGCCCCAAAACCAGCACAAGCCCCAGCAGATAGTACCCCGGTGGACACAATGCACCAGCGCTCTTGGTCGCTGTTGGCCGCGGCGTATCGGTTGTCGTAGTCGGCGGCGTCGTCGTTGTTGATTCCGGTGTCGCAGTCGTTGATTCCGGTGTCGCAGTCGTTGATCCCGGTATCGCTGTCGTTGATCCCGATGTCGCTGTCGCTGATCCCGATGTCGCTGACGTTGATCCCGGCGGCGCACTTGTGCTCGGGGCTGGTGTCGGCGTGTAATAACTCGGCGGTAGCGTGTTGCCTGTTGCTGTCGGCGCCACGTAGCTGCTCACATAGTCCGGCGGCGCCGACCCGTTCAAAAGTGCAAACTGCGGCGTGTCGCACACGGCCCCTTGATAGTTGGAGCTGCACACGCACGCCCCCTACCATCCGACGATAAACACCGTGTCTTTCCGATCGACCATTATATGTACGTACCTGCACGCAGAGACCGTTGTTGGAGCACGGCCGACCCGACGCGTCGACGGGACAGTAGTAGTTGCTGCAGTCGACGCCGGTAAACCCTGCGTTGCAATAGCACGCGTTCTCATAGCACGTGCCTTGGCCCGAGCAGCCATTCGGACACCCGCTCGTGCACAAGACACCGCTGTAGCCGCACTGACACACGCACTCGGCGGCGCTCGTCGTCGCGTTGAAGACGCAGAGACTGCTGTTGGCGCCGCAGCTCAGCGGACAGCTCGGGTTGGCGTACGCGGCCGCCGCGCGCCGCACGGCAAAGTACACGCCGTTCTGCGTCGCGCTAAAGCACACTTGGGTGCTGTCGATGACGCCAAACGTCGTGAGGTTGAGCGGCTGCATCGTCGCGTCGTCTTTGAGCAGCGCGACGTCGATCGTGTCAAAGGCCGGCCACTGCCGCACCGTCGGGTCGATGCTGAGGCAGAGCGAAATGTTGTCAAAGGCGCTCGACAGGTTGATGCCCTGGCCCGGGCCAAGGAGTTGGCCGTAGACGAGACCACTCGGCGATCTCAGCACGAGCGGGTTGAGTGCCTGCGACGCGCAGTACGGCGCCAGCGCCAGCGTGTAGCTCGCTACCAGCAACACGTATAAGATTCCAACGCCATCTTGTGCGGTATCTACCGATCGAGTAGGTCGAGATGCTGAGCTGCGCCGAGCCGTCGGACGACGCGTCGAGGCGACGCCGGGCCGAGATCGAGCTCGGACATGTAAGCGTCACGAGCGCCGACGTCGTTCCGGTCGGGATCGACGTCGAGCTGTTGCCGCAAAAGATCTGGCTCTGACTCGTCAGCGTCGCATTGGCCGAGGCCGGCGTCGAAAAGCAACCGCTGTTGGCCGACCGACCGCACGCACACGCGAGCTTGCTCAGGACGTCCGTCATGCCATTGTACCTACGGTGCGTCAGACATGCAATGCATGTCAGTCGTCGATGTACTGGAGAAGGGCCTTGGTCTTTTGAAGCCGCGCGACCCGCTTTGCGATCGGTCCTTGGAGCACTTGGCCGAGCAGCTGCAGCGACAGTGTCGGCTTGTACCTAATGCGACCGTTATTGACCTCGTGCTCATGATTTGAAGAAGCGACGTACGTGTTGGCCGAGACGAGCGTCGTACCGTTGGCCTGCCACGTGTACTGCTCGACGTACGCCGGCGCCCAGACACCGGACGTCCACGCATACCACGGCTTGAGACTGCCGCCGCATTTCGTACACTGCGTGGAGTTCTTCATGCTCAGTGAAGTCGCACCAGGCTCGAGACACCCGAGGGTGCTCACACACGCCGACTGCGTCGTCGCCGGTGTCACCCAGTTGCCGCCCGCCGTCGCACACGCGGTCGCCGTCGCGACACCGTAGACACGACACCCGCGCGGGTGCACCTGTTCCGGCGTCGCACAGCCCGATCCGGACGCAGGCGCAACGCAGACACCGGTCGTCGTCTGGCACTGGCTGCACGTCGCGACCGTGACCTGGTTCAGACCGGTCGTGATCTTGGCCTTGCACGTGTCTCCATATGTCCAGCCAGCGTCCAAGCACACCTTGCGCCGACTGTCGGGTCCGTCGTTGCACGAGCCTTGCGCTGCGCACGAGACGGCGTCGGTGCACGGCCCCGACGTCCACCGGCACCCGAGCATGGTGGCATAGACGTCGGTGGCGTTGGCACACGTGCTCGCAGCAGCGTAGCTGCTACACGTGCGCCACGTCGCGCTCGTCAGCGCCGCGCACGCCGTCGTCGTGTTGGCGCTCATGTCGATACACTAGTCACATGATGTCAACGCATTCAACCAGCGATGCGAGGTCGAGGCGTACCGGTGCGGCGCTGTAGCCGAGGCTCGCGCAGTAGCTGGCGTCGGTGCTAAAGCAGGCGGCGCTGCCTTGGGCGGCCAACGGACTCGACGTCGGGACGGCGCACGTCGAACACGCCATCGTGCACGACGCCCACGACGACGACAACGTGCACTGCGCCGCGCTCCAGCCGTCGACGCGTGGGCTCCCGACGCAGTTGCCTTCAGCGCACATGGCGGTCGTCGTGAACGCACCGGGAAAGAACGTTCTTGACGCGTTCAGAAACGTGCCGCCAAGTGTGTCGCAGTCGGCTGCGGTCGTGAGCGTCATGCAGATGCCGTTGCCGTTGCCGTGGTCGGGCAGCCACTTGTAGTTGGCGGTTGCGGTGCACGTCGCATGGGACGTCAACGATGGCAGGTAACACCCGCGTTGGCACGTGACCGCGCGGCGTGGGAACTTGGGCACCTCACCGAACGGCGCGTAGAACGTGTCGACGGCGGTCGCGTTGGGACAAAAGTCGGACCGAAGGCAGTCAGTGCCAACCATGGTGCGGTTGAGAAACGCATTGCAGACCTTGGTCGAGGCCTCCCAGCTGCCGCCGACCGATGCGCACGCGCTGGACGAGCGGACGCCAAGGGTGCAAGTGGGCCACTGCGTCACGCTCGAGCACACGTTGCCCGCGCACTTGGCGCAGAACGGCGTCGGGTCGGCGCAGTCGGCCGCCGCCACGAGCTGGTTGGTGCAGATGGTCGGTGCGAGGCACGCCGTCTCGTTTGCGACCACCGTCGTCGTGTTGCAGCAGCCGGCCGACGCTTGCGCTGCCTTGCACGACGTGCATGCCGCGCGGTGCTGACTGCAACTGCTCAAACACGAGGCCACGTCCCAGCTACTGACCGTCGTCACGCACGCGAGCTGCATCGCATTGCCGTTTTGAATCGTCGTGAGCTTGCCAAAGCAGCACGCGCCGTAGCCGCCGCTCACGTACCACGTCCCGTTCTGCGCCGCACAGCAGGTCGGGTCGGTGATCGTGTAGGCGAGCGCCGGCGCCGTGGGCGGGGCGTACGAGCACGGAAAGGCCGTGTTGGTCCCGTTATAGTACGCGTCCGGTGGGCAGCACTGGTAGCGGTTGTACTGGTCCATATACCACGTACCATTGGCGAGCGCGCAGCCGCCGGCGGTCATCGGCAGCATGCACGTCCTCATGCACGCCGTCTGGTCCTTGCACGCGCTGACGATCGCGTCAAACGTGCACGCATACCGGGCACAGGTGGTCGCGTTGGCGCCGTACGAGGCACACTCGAGCCGGCCGCCGTTCGCGATGCAAGTGGCGTTGACGGTAAAGTCGAGGGTAGCGCCCGCTTGCGACATGAGGAGGCTCATGTACTCGCCGTCGTCGCACAAGTGGCTCCTCTGGCACGTGGCGTTGCATGCGTACACTTGTCGGGTCGTGCCAATCCCCGGCAGCGTCGCGAACGGACCTATTGGGACCGAGTACGATAAGGTCCACGACGCAAGCAAGAAGCGAGGACGACATCGTACCGACGCACTGGGGCACGGACGCGTAGGTGCTAAAGGCCGTTGCGAGCGCCGACGCCGAGCTCAGCGGCGAGAGACCCCACTGCGCTTTCGCGAACCGGACCACGTCCGGGTCCATGTTGGCGCCAAAGCACTCGGCCATGCAGCGGTTCATGGCGTCGTACGGCACGCTGCACGTGCCAGCGCCCGTCGCCGGGTTCTTGAGGCAAGTGGACGGGGAGCAGACGGCCGCGCCGCAGTCGAGGTCCGAGTAGCAAGCCAGCGAGCTGGCGCCATGGATCGTCGCCAAGCACACTTGCTGGATGCTGCTGAGCGTCGCCCACGACACGGCGTTCATGGCCGCGTTCATGGCGGCGATGGACGCCATGTTGGCCTGGAGCGTCGCGTAAGCGCCGTTGAGGTAGCTGCTGATGGTGTTGGCGGGCGTGCCGGCGCAGAACGAGCTCACGAGCGTCGTGTTGAAGCCTTTCACGACCGGAATGGACCCGCTCGGCACGTTTTGCGGCGCGCAACACGTGGTGAGGGCCAGCGCTGGGTTGCAGCACGGGTCCGAGACCCACGCGGGGTTCCTAATCCTCCAGCGTATGAGATGGACACACACGGAAAGAGGAGGATGCGTACAGAACCAAGAGCGCAGCGTTCGAATACTGGGGCGTCGCACAGTAGTTGGGAACGTTCTGACGCACGACGGGCTCGGGGCCCGTGATGGAGATCTGGTCGAAGAACATGCTCGTGTCGCTGTACGCGTCGTGGGCGGCGGCGACGGCGATCTGGAGGAACCGCTGGAGCGTCTCGGCTTTCGAGTTGGCGTCGTCGAGGCCGCCAATGTGCTGTACTATGTCGTTGGCCGTCGCCAGCACTGCACTCTGGTTGAACGTCGGCATCTGTTTGTGAGCGGCACCATGCGGCAGGCGTCCACTGCGTACGCGCAGCTCGTGTCAGTGCACGACGCCTACGCGTGCCAATTCCGTTTCCTCATATCTGCGTCGTAGGACCGACGTACGTCAAAGAGAAGCTTGCCAAAGTGCAATTGCGCGCGGCGGCCATCGATCGCGGCCTGAATGTCCAAACACACTTGGTTGCCGGCCACCTAGGTGGCGTGAGCCTCGTGCGTCGAAGAATGAAGGAGGAGGGTGACGTGTACCGTCGCGCAAGTCTGCATTTTCTTTTCGAGGATCGCACCGGATGCGTTTTGCGTCGACTGGCTCAAGAGCACGGCCGCCTGAAACACGCCGGGCTGCGGTGTCGTGTCGGTCGTCAAGCTCTCGAGAGCGAGCTGCGCAAAGTTGGACAAGGACGCGTCGTTGCCGTTGATGGCGCGGTACTGCAGCTGGGTTCTACCACAGCCTATTGGTATTGAAAGGATCGTCGAGACGGAGCGTACAAGTAGGCCTTGAGCGCCCAGCGCAACGGGTGCTGGCTCGGCGGCAATATCATGAGTGGCGTGTCAAAGGGCAAGGCTCCGCACTGCGGCGACGGGGTGTTAGGCGCGCCGGGAAAGAGCGTCAGCTGCGCGATCGTCGATGGAAACGAGAGCGGGAGTCCATTCTAGTGCATCCAAAAGGTTCGAGAAAAAGCGCCGAGACATGCACAAAGACGCACCACGACAATGCTGCTGTTGACGTACGGGCTAAAGTCACTCAACGTCAAGTTTTGTAGCGAGTACTACAGATCACATATGAGACATGCGCCAAAGTGCAAAGTGGACGTACCAGCTTGGACGTCTTGTTGCCGTAGACGTCGACGATGGCTTGAAAGGCGGCGGTCGAGAGAGCGCTGCGCGTCGAGAGCGACATGGAGTCGAGTGGGTTGGTGAACGCATACAAGGGCGTCGTTGGCGCCACTTGGCTGTTGAGCGCCGTGCCGTACGCGCAGTTGAAGACTGCAAACTGATGACACGTCACGATGAGTTGTCGTCCTCCAAACAACAAACCAACGTGCCTTGAGCGCGTACAGTTGCGGGTCGTTGATCGTGATCGTCTTGATGGCCACGTCGCAGGCTTGCGGGATTGACGGCACCGTAAACGGCTTGGTCAAATTCACGTACGTGTCGCAGCCCGGGTCCCGGAGACCTAGAGAGCTGAGTTTGCGTCTTGTCTTGAAAAGAGGGGCGTACTCGCGTTGCTTTGAATGCCGGTGCAGTACTTTTGCACATAGTTGTCGCACGCAATCTTCTGCGGCAGCGTCGTCGTGACGGCACACGGCGATGTCGTGGCGCAGGGCCACGGATTGCCGGTCTGGAGGTTGGCGCAGAAGGGACACACGCCCGGGTTGGGCATGTCGAGGACGTAGCCGGTCTGGTGGAGGCAGCGCTTGCACGGCGTGCCTTGCGCGTAGCACTCCCAGTTGAGCGCCGTCTTGCACGCGGTGCAGCCGCCGGTCGCCGTCACGTTCGGTCCTTCGTCGCACGTTTCGAGCCACGACACGATGCCGTCGCCGCAGACGCTCAGGTCGCTCTTGCATGCCTACGCCCGCATCACAGTTTCAACAAACTATCAAGCTATCAAGCTGGAACGGACCGGGTCCCACGGGTTGGCGTTGCAGTAGGCAAACGACGTTGTGACGCAAGACGCAAGGTTGTCGCCGAGTTCCGGGATGAGTGCGTTGCAGTCGGCGAGCGCCTGCGTGAGCGTGGCCGACCACTGGAACGGCGTCGTCGGCGGTCCCGCGCGGTTTGGCGTACGCCAAATGGTCGGACGCGGGCTGGAAGTGGCGCTGCGTAAACATGGCATTGACAAAGAGCTTGCGAAAGTTGGCGCAGACGCCTGCGTTGCGGACGCAGAGCGGCGCTTGGTTGACGGCCGCGCACGCACTCGACTTGCACGGACAGTTGGTCTGGAGGTTGCAGTTGTACGGACACACTTGGTGGCAGCCGACATCCGATGGGTTCTTGGTGCAGTAGTCCACCAAGTAGTTGGTGCAGCCTGGAAACGACGGGGTCGTCGATGCCGTGAGGTTGACGCCAGCCGTGCACACGCCAGGAATCTAGATCGAAATCGTGTCCTTTGCATGGAAGAGACGGAGGAGGTCGTAGTACGAGCGGAGGGATGCAAGCGCTGCCCGAGCAACCAATGTTGGCTGCGAACACATTGACAATATTGCGAAAGATGGACGACGCGTTGCACTGCGGCGTCATGCACGTGGCCGACGCGTTCGCAAACGGACACGCGATCGCCGAGTAGTTGGGGGTGATCGTCGGCTGCCCCATAAAGTAGCTGCACCCGCTCGGCGTGCAGCCGGAACCAGCCGCAGGCGCCACGGTTTGGTTGCAGCCCGGTGTGCCTGGCACGCAGCACGCTTGGAACGTCTAGCCAGACAGACATTAGCAAGCGTGAAAACGCCGTGGCGGTGTACGGAAGCGATGCACGCAGGACTCTGCTTGCTCAGTTGGCACGCGGTCGACAGACAGGGGTGACCCGCTGGAAGCGCGGCCACTTGGGCTGCCGACAAAAACTCGCAGTAAAAGAGCGAATCTACGCATTTTTGAGTTGGAGCTCGCGATCAAAGCAATAGAACCTCTGCACTCGGGGGCGTTGTAGCACTGCTGGCCCACGCCCGCGCAGGACGAGCAAGGCACAATGGTGCTGGCTTGTTGGCACGTGGTTGCGTCACCGACGCTGAGCTGCGCCAATGGCAGCGAGCACTTGACGTTCAGGTTGCACGTACTCGAAGACGAACATGTCGTGCCTACGGCCATGATGGATCACGGTGCTGGCATCGTCCGGCGTAAGGACGTACCGTAAACAGTGGGGAAAAGACCGACGACCGCCGCGACAAGCAACAGCCAGCGCATGCGGAATGAGGCTGCTCTTGCGTCCGACAGGGCAAAATCAAGAACGAGCTTGCTTGTCGCGATGATGTGCAACGCGTCGTTACTCAAAGGGAAACCGTAAAAGGGCGCCATTTTGAGTCCTGTGACTCTTTTTATCCCAGAACCAATGAAGGCTCGGGCACTGGCGTCTACTATAAAGCACATTCGCGCGGTGCAAGGTAATACCTGGAGCTGCACGCTATCTATACTGCATCATGTCCCAAGTTCTCACGCGCTTCTTAGTGCGTACTAGTACTAGTACTAGTACTTAGTAGTAGCATTTCTCTCGTTTAAGATGGCTTCCAGCAACATACTCGTATTTGATAGGCATGGCGTTTCGTGTGTGTACGCCGTGAATAGACTGAGTCATTGTTGGATCGCCAATCGCAGAGCGTTGATTTGCACCTGGCGCATCTCCAGCAGTGTGCTGCAGCTGAGTGTGCTGCACCTTGAATTTCGTCCTGGAATTGAGGTAGGTTGTTTTCTATCGCTACGGTGGTTCAGGATTCTTAAACGAATGCAGCTGTGCTATGGACATCAAGGCCACTCGGGCCTACGATAGGTGAGCGCCCTGTGATCGAACGCAGTACATACAGAGTGCTATCATACGGCGACCATGCTCTCATCGTGAGGCATGGGTTTCCGATCCAAGTGTAGTAGAGTAACAAGTCTACTGACCACCCAGTTTGCTGTTAAGACCTGTGCTCCTTCACTGTACAGAAATGACGCGATATGGTCCAATTTTCGTTGCTTGTAAACGCGAGAAAGAGGGACATCAATTCGCGCATTATTACTCAAGCTACTTGTACAGACTGTGAGAGTTATTCTTGTCCATCCCCCTGGTCGTTGGTGGACCTCGCATAGCTTGGGGACCCGCTTCGGGGTCGCCATCTTGAATAGAGGCGGTGGCTTGTTGTGGGACGGGCTCCGCCGCAGAGCAGCAGTGCTTGATGAAATATGCAACTCCTGTCGTGAGCGCGCCGAGAAGTGCATAAGCGTTCGCGATCGCGCTACCCAAGACTTGGGTCCATGATGGGCGAATCTGCGTTTTGTAGGTGCACGTGAATGGTCCTCTGTTGTAGAAATTCTCGCAGAGCCGTATTGGCGTGAGCAACGGACAACCTGGCGTTCCCTTTGTACGTGCCACCGTTCGGGTGATGAGGTTCTTCGGCATGTACTCTGTCAAGAAAATATCGATGGACGACCCGGGGATGATGGAGCCGTTTGCAAAGTAGTTGGAGGCATCGGCTGCGCAAGACCATTTGGATGAAGACGGCGGCATGGTTACCAAGTCAAAGAATGACCTCGTGTACAGGTCGAATAGATACGAGTGGTATGCAAACCCAAGCGGCGAGAGACCCTCAATACGGAAATACGCTCCCGTTCCGCCGATCCAGAGATCGCCGAGGTACTGGGACGAATAGTTCCCACCTCCATGGTTAATGACGACCGGCATGGCGCCGGTCTCATTCAGGACAGCCGGCCAAGCAGTCGTCGTACGTCTTGAAGTGCATGTTTTCCATGATAATCTTCCACCCACCAATGATCGGAGCCAGACGTCCATCGGCCGTCGTGGGTTGCGCTAAGTAGTTGCTTACATTTGCAGGGCAAGCGACTACTCCACCGGCACAGTTGACCGGCGGCTTGGCGGGGTTGCACAGGCCTTGTTGGTAAAAGTCCGGATCCATCGCGCACGAGTAGCTCGTTCCACTGAATTGAGCCAGGCTTTCGCAATCGAGATGAGGAACATGATTTGCCGAGAAGACGACGTTGGTAACTTCTTGGACATTCACCAAGCCGCTCGTCAGTTGCGTGATACCGACGATGAAGGAAATGATGCACAAGCCGACCGTGACGCAGCGGAGGGTTGTCGCGTCGGCGATCAATCTCTCGTCCCGATCGTCGTAAAAGCCACCGAGGATCGGGAAGCAAAGCGCAGGCGTCTTTGGCTCACCTCCGTTGGGCGCCTTCATCGATTTTCAAAGATGAAGTTGACTCGTGCCTAGGATTCCAAGCTTACATACTCGTATCTAATAGCTTTGCCGCCAATTGTTTTACAGTATCAACCCACACATCGCCGCGACCAGCCCCACCATTCATTGAGCTATAACGAGAAAAAGTCGGATTCTGGGCATAACCCTTTTTCTCGCATGGTGATTGGCTAATATTCAACAAGGTCCTGGGCGCGCCATGGAGGTCACACTTGCGCAGATATGGCATGCTGTGCATGACTTGGTGCTATGGGAAACATGAAATGACTTGTATTTATAAATGCTACACGTTATCCTAGAGGCCGCACTAGTTTTGCGCAGAATCTTGGCAAATGTCACAATCTTGAGCTGGCAGACCCGACGCTCACGACCCAGAGGCGTCTGCTGCCACGTCGCTAATGAGTGGTTCGAGATAGTAGAAAATGCCTCCGCGGCCGAGGCGGAGCTCGACGGCATGGTCACATCGGCGCCGTGCACGGAGGCCAAGTTGCTCTGTGCCTCCTGACAAACTTCCACTCAGAGTAGATCTTGGCTTGGTTCGCCGAGAGGTCGGCGGGTTTGAACTTGGAGAACGCGACGAAGCGCCGAGCGGAAGCCGGAGAGCGCCGTCATTGCATTCTTGGCGCACTTGAGCTTCCAGAGAAGGAACTCGTGTGAGTCGTCGTAGGTAAACGCTTCGAGGTTGATGGTACCGTCGGCGCTGAGGCGGTCGTCAAGCTCGGGCTCTGTCAGCTACTTGACGATCTGCCGGATACCGCTCGCGTAGCTGCTCTTCGAGCATTTCGAGAGCCGGTTGCCATGCACGTCCTAGAGCGTGAGGGACTCTCATCGTTGCACCTTGACCTTGCGCAGCGCCGACTTGGGTGGGGCGGGATGATCCTCGCTCGTTGCGGCAACGCCGACGGTGCGCTCGAGGGTTGCATTGCTGAGTCCGGTGCTGGAGGCGTGTCTCCAGAAGCAGCAGCTACGGCGGCGCCGTCGTCGCAGCACTGCGAACGGAGCGTGCGGGCCTCCTTCTTGGGTGGTGTGCCATGGGCGCGAGTCAAAATGGCTAAAATCAGCCAATCAGAGGCGCGTTCACTCAGGTTCCGACTTTCTCCCATCAAAAAATCATGAAGTTGCTTTGACTTGAAATTTGTATGATATTAAAAATTGTTGAAAGGGAGAAAGTCGGATCCTGAATCCGCCTCAATTGTAGATGACGTATACGATTCCGACTTTTTACAGAGAATGCTTGTTCTTATTGGGCCACACAATAATATTCCAAGGATCATGTTTCGACAATCGAATGTGTGCGTTGTCCCGCAGACTACAATCGAGTTTGGGATGCCACATCGCCTACAGGTATATGCCAAGGGGTGCAACGGAACTTCTTTTGCTCTAGTGTGATGTTGAAGGGACCCCTGCAACATAACGCAAGAGTAAAAGAAGGTCCAGTTGGCGACTACCGCATAGATTGTGGGGACCTAACAAACGTGCCTAATAAAAGCGAAGAAGAGAAGAAGAGAAGATTGACTTTCGAAAGACGTCCATTCGTCCCGTCGTCCCTCTCCATGTCCTTCTAAAGTTGACCTTCTTGCGCCGTTGAACGATAAAATAGATGCCGTATAAAAGACACTTGATTTTTGTATGTATTTTTGCCCATACCTACAGTGGTGGGGCGGGACAAGGCGATGTGCGTTTGCATGTTTAGAATTACCAAGGCCATAAGTATACAAGGCCATAAATATATTTATGGCCTTAAATATATTTATGGCCTTGGTATTACGGGAGAAGCTCGTTGATATGGGACTGTACGTCCTTTGGCAGCAGTCAGTAGACTGGTGTTTCACGTTCTGGTTGTTGCCAGGGAGCGGAATCGGTCACAACCCACGCGCGGTCTCGGCAGAACTCCATGACCCAACGCACGGCGTCCCCAACGAAACAGAAACCGATCCGGGTCGTACTCGCGGTCGCCACAGCGCTGGATCACACACACCACCGACGCCGCCTATTTCGCTTCTCGAACGCCGAGCACGAGAGTGGGGCAAACAAGAGTATCTTGGCGCCCGCCAGCCACGTTAAGAGTGGGTGGGGATCGCTTACGGCGGGGGGGCTAAAATGCAGAATGGCTACGCTACTGAGGCTATGGAACGCGCCTGCTATCTTTAAACTTCTACCTTGATGTTAATGAGGCGGTATGGCTCCATCGCAATCGAGCAAGCGAGGACAATTCAGTGGATCCAGGACAAAAGGAGGCGGTTAGTCCTCCGTACAGTCAAGCGTGTTGGATACGAAGCGAGTGTTTGAGCCGAAAAGTCTCAAGTTACCCATAAATGGGGAAGGTGTGGTCTGCAGTCCATTTCATATATACAAATCTATGCTACTAGATCCAGAACATACTCCAAGAAGTCGCTAAGGATTGGGCATCTTGGCAAGTTATCCCAGATGGTACACTATTGCATTGATTTTCTGAGGTCCTTTGCTTGCTCAACCTTCTGCGCAAAATCTACTGCCACTTTCGGGATTGGCACACTTCGCACGGGGACCGGCGCAGCAATTGTTCCGCCACATGAAAAAAGTTTGTGGCGCCGGTCAGCTACTCCACTCCCTGAAGTTGATCATGCGCCTGCACAGCCCGACATTGGTCTGAAGCGCCCGGACGACCTGTGGACATGTTGGTCATGATGTACGGGCACCGCCACCGAACGGTGGTGTTGAACGGGCGGCTCCCGCGGGTCTGGCTGTCGCAGACCCATGCGTACCGCGTAGACACTCCGCAGCACCAGACATCTTGGCGACGTTCTCGGCTCTCGGGAGGGAATACATGGTAGCATGAAATTGCAGCATTGCTGCGTCCAAGCCGATCCAAATGAAACGCATCCGGTTCAATGCGCCGCTTATCCGGTAAATGTGGTCGTATGCGGTAAATGTGGCGATTGCTGTGCGTCCACGACAGCGTCTCATGCATTATCTTCCAGTCGCCCACAACGAAAGCTCGTGCATTCAGCAGCTAGCTCGCGCCGAGACGATCAAGCGCCGGCGAAACGAACGAGATTAAAGTTTACGATATTTGGGGTAATTGCTAAAATAGCAACGTTCATGCAGTTCATGCACGTAGTATTGCGATGGTCGCTATCTCAATCAGTGCCTTTGCAGTACCGGTACTGGAACATCGTGGCTGACAGCTTGACCGACTCGATCGAGGTTTTATTCCCTTGGGCTCGATGGCGCTGCACGACACCATTGCACTTTTCGAAGGGCAAGGTCGGTCATTGTACCTTGCAGCATGTGATTGGTCCATCCTAATTAGGACATTGCCGGTTCGCGTCCGAATTGCACCGACCACGACGCCACGTTGAGCCCGCGCTTTCGCCTCGCCTTGTCGCCTCGCCGAAACATGCAAGCTCTGCCTTGCTCTCCAGCGTCGCTCTCCATTCCACCAGTCTCATGCACCCTCCATGCGTTATTAGCATAATCGTGCGCGCTGTCGCTTACCGAGTTTCGATCTTTCGATCGTATCACTAACCACACGCCACAATACCCTGTCCATAGTCACACCTCAATGCAATTTATCGTAAAAAAGTGCGTGCGTTTAGCCTCAACGAACCCGGCTGCTCGTTGTCCTGATTTGGCCGTCAATTCCCTCTTTGCCATGTCGGGCGTCTTGAACCGGTGGAAGGTTGCGGTCCAAGCCGCGGCCTTTGACGTCGGGACGTCGGTCTCGGGCGTCGTCTCGACGGCTGTCCTCGGCGAGGAGTACGAGAAGAACTACGAGTTTCCTCGCGACAGCACGGCGAGCGGTGGCCACGAGCTCCTCTGGAAGATCTACCCGGCGGTCTCCAAGAAGACCGGCGCCGAAGTGAGCCTCTTTGTCTTTGACAAGCGCGAGCTCGACAAGGTGCACAACAAGGAGCGCGTCTTGGACGTGCTGCGCCATGACATGAAGACGCTCCGCTTGCTGCGCCACCCGCAGATCCTCAAGATCGAAGAGGTCTTTGACGAGTCGCGCAAGACGCTCTCGTTTGTGACCGAGCGTGTCACGTGCTCGCTCGGAAACGCATGCAAGAACTTCACCAACGTCCTCAACGTGACGCCCGAAGTGCTGGAGATTGGTCTCTCGGAGTTTGAGATCGCGTGCGGCCTCATGCACATTGGCGAGTCGCTCTCGTTCTTGCACCGCGAAGGCCGGCGCGTCCACCTCGGCCTCTCGCCGAACGCGATCTTTATCACGCCGAAAGGCGAGTGGAAGCTCGGGGGCATGGGCTTTAGCCGCATCGTCGAGCCGGGCTCGACGTCCCGTAGCGAGTACTATGCATCCGGGCACGCCGAGCCGATCAAGAAGGGCGAGAAGCTCCTGAGCTACGAGCCGCCGCTCGAGTATTGCGCGCCCGAGCTCGTGAACGAGCCCCGAACGTTTGACGCGCACGCGGACGTCTTCTCGCTCGGCCTCCTCGTGCTCGAGCTCTTCTCGCCGCCCAAGCCGGATGGCAGCCACGAGCCCGTGCTCGGGTATCTCGAAGGCAAGGTCATGACGCACGGCTACAAAACGCAGTCGCTGCACCCGATCTCGTTTAACCCGACCGTGCCCGTGACGCTCCACAACACGATTCGGACGCTCTTGCAGCTCTCGCCGTCGTCGCGCATTGAGGCGCGGGCGTTCCTCTCGTCGCCGTTCTTTGATTCGGGGCTGGTCAAGACGCTGCGCACGCTGCAGACGCTCGTCGAGCAGGACCCGGCGTCGCAGGCGAAGTTTCTCTTGGCGCTCCCGGACGTCCTCTCGGGCTTTTCCCCCAAAGTACTCCGGGACCTCGTGCTTCCCGGTCTTCAAAGCGTCGTCATCAACCCCGCGATCGCGCCGTTTGTGATTACGCCGCTGCTCAAGATCGTCTCGATGGTCGACAAGACGACGTTCTCGCGGCACATTGCGCCCATGATGGTGCCGCTCTTGACGATTGCCGAGCCAGTCCAGTGCATGCTCATGTTTGTCGAAAACCTCGAGGCTCTCATCCCGAAAGCAGAGGATGGCTACATCCGCGACCACATTGTGCCTATGCTCTGCCGCGCGCTCGATTCGAGCGTGCCCGAGATCCTCGACAAGGTCCTCAACAAGATTGTCGACCAAGCGAGCCTCTTTGAGTACCGCATTCTCAAGCAAATCATCCTGCCGCGGGTCATTCGGCTCATTTTGGACCCGCCCCAGCTCTCCGTGCGCGTGAACGCACTCCTCTGGCTCGCCAAGTCCTTCCATGTGTTTGATAAAGACCTCCTTGTCGAGAGCGTCATGCCGTGCCTCGCCGAGTGTTTGGCCAAAGACAAGACGCCCGCCGTGTGCATGTGTATTCTTGGCTGCTACGACAACCTCGGCAAGCACCTCGGACCCGAGTACATGGCCAAGCTCGTGCTACCCGCGGTCTCACCGCTGCTCTGGGAGAAGAACCTCAACGGCGCGCAGTTCGACATGGTCTGCGAACGCGTGAACGCGATGCTCAAAGAGATCATTTCGGAGCGGGAGAAGGCCCTCATGGCCGAGTCGGGGCTTCAAACCCAGAGGTACCGCCCGACAACTCGTGTTTATGGTGTCACAAGCATGTTTGCTCATGTAGCGTCGCGACCTCGGGCTTTGGCGAGACGGTCCGCGCCGTCGAGCGCAACAAAGAGAAGGCCTCGGGCATGGCCGCTGTCAACTCGATGCTCCAAGACGAGTATGTGCCCAAGGCGCCCGAGGCGGCGCAAAAGCCGTCGGATCCGGCGCCGTACTCGGACGCTCGGCCGTCCACGTACTCGGACCGCAGCAGCACGAGCAGTCGCGACGACCCGTTCATCCTCAACGGCGGCGGCCGGTCCGCGGCGACGCCGCCGAAAGAAGCCCCGAGCGAGAGCTACGCCGAGCGGCGGCGGGCCAAGAAGGCCAACCGACGTACGAGTGCGTCGGTTGACGCGCCGACCTCGGACTTGCTCGAGATTGCAACGGTAGCCGCTCCGGTACACACCACCTCGTTTTGTCGACTGACATAGCATCATCTTACTCGTTGTTGGTGTTTAGGCATATGGCAACGCTCCGAGCGCGGGCCTCGCAGGTCTCTCGTTGGCGCCAGCACCGGCACCGGGTGGCAACATGTTTGCTGGTCTTCAACCCTCGAGCTACGCCCCGTCGTCGTTTGCGGCAGCGCCCCCGTCGAGTGGGTACGGCGGCACCCCGGGGTATGGCCAGAACACGGCCGTCTCGGCGTTCAACGGCGCGCCGTTGCTGGCCGCGCCGCCGGTCGCAGCTCCGAGCTACAACAACAACAGCAATGGTAATGCGGGCGGATATGGCAACCAATTCGGCGCGCCTCCGCCCGCCGCGCCCGGGTACGGCCAGCCGCAGCTCGGGTACGCCAACAACTATGCGTCGACGCCGTACGGGAACGCGGCGCCGCAGCAACAACAACTGTACGCGAGCTACACTGGCCACCACCCGACGACGCAAGACGATGGCAACAAGTTTAGTGCCTTTGATGGCTTGTAATTCGGAAATCGAGACACCACTGCACCAAACATCGACAACAAACGCTGTCGACTTGGAGATTGTAGCGGAGGATGACAGTCGTCGCAATCCGCTCCTCTCTGCACGCCAGTACAATGCAGTAGCAGCCACCGCCCTGGCTTCTCGAGTCTCGGGCCTCCTTTGACGCTGCTCGAGGAGAGTATACGAATGCTATCGCTCGTGCTCCCAGCGGTCTGGTGACGCCTTGACGTCAGTGCTTGCTTTAACCAGCAGGCAAGTAGACAGTGCGCCGATGCCAGCGATTCTGCGGGTAGGCGTGGGCAGTGGCGGACCCTCTAGGGTTCCCGAAGGCAAAGAGGTGCCTAGATGCGAGCTTTAGAGACTTGTATAAGCTGACACGTTGCGTTGGTGATCGAATAAGAGCGAGTGCGTCGGTAAACATTCCTCGTGTTACTACAGTATTAGAAGAGTAGCAAGATGGTGTCAAACATGACCAGAAGTCGCTTAAAGCGACAGGCCAAACTTCTCGAGCGTGGGCTTGAGCTCCTTGTGGGCGGCGGCGACCGAGGCCGTAGCAGCCGACAAGGCCTTGTTCTGCTCGAGCTTCTTCTTGTAGTAAGCCTCCGAGCGGATCTTGCGCTTGGCTTCGAGGCGGGCGACGAGGTCGCCGTGGCGCCAGCCGACCTCCGACGAGAGCTTGCCGAGGACGGTGAAGCGGCGGTTGGCCTTCAGGCGGAGGGCGCGGAGGGCATCCGGGACGACCATGCGCTTGACCTTGTCATACGGCGACGGCATACCATCGAAGACCTAGTTCCAAGGCATGAGCCTCTTGATGTCGTCTGCGAGAATGCAGTACCTTGAGGCGCTGGAGGGCAGCGGCACCATGGGCCGTCTTGTGCGGCAACATGCCACGGACCGAGCGCCAGAACATGCGCGAGGGAGCGCGGTAATGGATGGGACCCTTCTTGGGGTTCGTGGCCGTACGCTTGTTCAAGAACTGGAGGAACTTGACCTTGTTGCGCACGTCTACAAGCCAGCATCGTCAGCAACACTGCTGGATGTGGTGTAGGTCCGGCATGGCAATCCGTTTGATGGTGAGTCAAAGAGGGAAAGCCTGCACGCAGCGACTTTAGCATGTTTCGAGGCGACGCATGGGAGCGGGCACACGCAATGCGTGGCCATCACCAGCCACATGTGAAATGTGTCAATGTCATCCAAAGGTCCTTGGCGTAAATGCCAGAAGATAAGACTATCCATCCATTTGCCAAGGCCAAGGCCTCAACACACCAAGCGGTCGCTGCGCCTACGGACCTAGATGAATGCAATAAGAACTTACGCGAGCCCGAGATGTTGAGCTCTTCGCAGCGGACGGCAACGACGTGCTGGCCGAGGAGGAGCTCCTTGGCGACGAGCGACGCAAGGCGACCGAGCATGTGCGCGCGGCAGTCGATGATGACGGGCTTTTCGAAGGGCATGTTTGGACGATTACACCGATGAGGAAATGAGTTGCTCAAGGGCAATCTCACCAACCCGAAATGGCTGGCCAAGAGGCCTAGGTGTCGGGCTTATAAAAAGAGTCTATTATAAAACGGCGTTACTTGCATGTAGTATCCAATATTAATAGAAACGAATTATAATGCACGGATGTACGGAATACGATTTTATGATTGGCTGAAATGCAAGACAGACGGTCACCATTTCGACCAGTCACGCGATCGGAATGGCCATTGGCGGTTTTGACCAATCGACTCGTGTGGCCATGGCACACTTGGTTTTTGTAGCGACGTCATTCGCGCCTCCAATTGGTCAATGGACGCATCATTTCAACCAATGGCCTTGAGGCAGCGCGCTGCAGGGCACTGTGCAGGAGGCGCTGGAAGGCAGGCAGTAGGAGGTGGCCCAAGGAGGCCCATGGTGGCAGGCGGCGGAGCAGTAGAACGAGCCTGCAGGATCGACGCCGGGCTGGAGAGCAGTAGCGAGGCAAGCATAGACTTTTAAGGACAGGCGAAACGTCGTGCGAAGATGGCCGGCGACGCTTCGCTGGCAGATCCGCAAGATCCACATTGCAATCGAAACGCAAGCATGAGCAGCGGCGACCCACGCGTCCTCATCAACTACTATGTGCGGAAGGGATGGTACGACCACGTGCAGCGGCTCTGTGAGAGCATCCTCGACAAGAAGGGGAGCGACCCAACCATCTTGTTTTGGCGGTCGTTTGGCATCATCATGGAGGGCAGCTACTCGTCGGCGATCCGCGAGCTCGAGGGCTTGAAATCCAAGAAGGAGGTCGAGCTCCCGTGCGTGCATGCGCTCATCTACACGCACAACAAGTGCAAGCACGTCGACCACGACGAGATTGCGCAGCTCGAGCTGCAAGTCGTCATTGCCGAGGAGAACGCGACCGACGCGAGCCAGCTCCTGGTACGCACGCGCGCCGCGACCTCTCCATCATCATCATGGCGCGTCTCGACGAGTAGTGCGCCAACTTTTTCTGGCACACCAAAGAGACGGCGAAAGCGCGCAAGGTCCTCGAAAACCTCATGGGCGGGCGCATTAGCCCCGAGACGCCGCTGCAGATCCGTGCGGCGATCCTCCGCGGCTGGGTCGACCTTACGACCGAGCCCAAGACGAAGCGCGACATCGAGTACCGCGAAAACAGCATCCAGCTTTTCGAAGAGGCCAAAGTCAAGGCGTACGAGCCACATGACACACGTGCTAATAGTAGCGTGATCCTCTGTGTAGGGCCAACGACCCGGAGCAGCTCCTCGGCGTCGCCAAGTACCACGACTTTAAGAAGAACCACGCCAAGGCGCTCGAGTGCTACGACGAGGTGACACTGGCACGCTGCCTACAATCCTATTTAGGAGGCGGTCTAGATCATTGTCAAGTACACGTGGCTCAAGCACGCGCTGAGCGAGAAGGCGCTCGTGCTCTTCAAGATGGGCGAGTGGGACCAGTGCGTCGACAGCGCCGAGCGGGCGCTGACCACGAGCGCGTACATTCTGCCATGATGTACATAGGACCTTCACATCGCAATCGCTCGACGTAGGAACGACATTGAGGCGCTTCGGCTCTTCATCTTTTACCTCTTGACGCGCGAAGGCAAGCCCAAGGAGGCGGCGGCGCGCATTCGGGAGCTCGTCAAAGCACTCCACGCGACCGAAGCGTCGAACCCGGCCTTGTACTACGACATCTCCAAGTGCATTGCGCGGATCGCCGACAAGAACCACGAAGTGCTGTCTTGCAACCTCGCGCTCGTCGAGCAAGCCATCAAGCTCTCGCCCGAGACTGGGTATGTTGTCTTAACTCGGCTAACAATCGCATTCGATGACGAGAGAGTAGCGTCTACCATGCGGAGCGCGGGTACCAGCGCGCGCTCATGGGCGATTTCCACGAAGCCGTCGACTCGTACAAAGACGCGCTCAAGCTCGACGAGTCGAACGAAGCGGCGCTCCACGGCCTCATCTACTGCCAGATCAAGATGGGGCTCATCGACGACGCTGCGCAGCAGATGGAGTTTCTCAGCGTCATCCAAGAGTCCATGGGTGCGAGCGCCGATTTTGTCATGCTCCAAGCCATGCTGAGCTGGCACAAGGACAAAGACCGGCAAAAGCAAGTGAAATTTCTCCAAAAAGCCGCCCAGCTGCACATGGACAAGCTCAAAGAGGCCATGCAGGTACGAAGAAGAACGACGACAACTTGTCCACAATAGAAAGAGAGACAAGCACAGATGATGGTAGACCGGAGACCTCTCGACATACGACATCATGGCGGCGCTCAACCCGCACTTTCTCGTGGAAATCGCGATGGAATTCATCAAGCTCGACGGCGTCGACGACGGCAAAGCCATGGCGGCGCGGGGCATTTCGATCCTCGACAAGATCGTCGCGAAATCACCGGGCTTTTTGGAGATCCAATTTGTGCTCGCGAACGCCAAGTTCGCAGCCAACGAGTTTGACGACGCGTTCCGGATTTGCCGGTCGCTGCTCAAGATGCACCCGTCGCATGCCGGCGCGCACTTGCTCGAGGCGCGCGTGAGTCTCGAGCGCGAGCACTTTAAAGCGGCGGCGTCGAGCCTCGACATTGCGCTGAGTCACGACTTTTCCGTGCGGCAGACGCCGTCGTTCCACATCATCAAGGCCAAGCTCCTCGAGAACGAAGGCAACCTCAAGGACGCGCTTGGCGTGCTGCAAACTGCCATGAAGACAGCGTCGAGTGCACCCGCAAAAAGCAAGTGACGGCCGCGGCCGCTGAAATGTCCCTCTTTGACAAGTCGTGCATTTACATTCAGCTCGCGTCCGTGCACGCGCAGCTCAACAACGTGGGCGAAGCCACGCGACTCGTCAAGGAAGCCCTCGACGTCTTCAAGTACGACGTCCCTTTGAATGCTGATTGACCACGGCACTCGGTTTCTCCTGCTGTAGAGGCACGACCCAAGAAGTCCGCGTCCTCGTCGCCAATAGCGAGCTCGCGATCAAGCGCGGCGACTTTGACAATGCGATCATCATGCTCAACGGCATACCCCAGGTACGACCTCGGTCGCGTCTTTGATCATGTCGTTCGCCTCTTTGATGGTGTGTTGCTCGCATCAACGAGTAGGAGTCGCCGGCCTTTATCAAGGCGCAGATGATCAAGGCCGACATTTACCTCCAGCACCGGAAGGAAAAGCGCCTCTACGCCCAGTGCTACAAGGTCCCCACCACGCGCCTTCCACGCAACGCACATTAACCTATACTATGGTACGATTAGGAGCTCGTCAAACTGAGTCCGTCGGTCGAGTCGCACATTCGGATGGCCGAAGCCTACCTTCGCATCCAGCAGCTCGACGACGCGATCGAGTCGTACCGCAGTGCGCTCGTGCTGACGCCAACGGATGCGTCGCTCGCGAGCCGCATTGGCCACATCCTCGTCAAGAAGCACGACTACATGACGGCGATCGAGTACTACGAGTCGGCGCTCAAGTCGGCGCCCGACCAGACGCCGCTCCGAACCGACCTCGCCAACCTCCATGCGCGGCTGCACCAGTACGACCAGGCGCTGCGCCTCATTCAGTCGGCACCGTCGAAAGGTGCGCACGGCGACGTCAAGGAGATGCTCGAGATGATTGAGCTCCAGCTCATCTTGCCGCGCATCCACAACGGCTTGGGCAACACGCCGGCCGAAATCGACAGCTTGCTCTTGGTGGCCAATTTGCAAAAGAACGTGCTCGATAAACTCCGCGACGAGCGGCCGGACGAGCTGCCTCGCCACACGACCGCGCTCGCGACGACCAACTACAAGCTCGCGGTCGTGTACAACACCATGAAAGACTGGTATCTATCTATCTATCTATCTATCTATCTATCTATCTATCTATCTATCTATCTATCTATCTATCTATCTATCTATCTAAATATTATCAATTTATCAATGTATGGAACGAAGAATTTATCGATCGCGTAGGGACAATGTGCTCAAGTACTGCACGATGGCGCTGCGGGCCGACGAGTCCCACGAAGAGTCGATTCTGTGCCTCGCGCGCATTTACAACCAAATGCAAAACACCGAGCAGTGCCAAGCAAAGTGCACGACGCTGCTTCGACTCAACCCGTCCCATGAAGAAGCGGCCATGATGCTGGCCGACATCATGCTGCAGAAGGACGACAACGAGTCGGCGATTTTCCACTTTCAAAACGTACCAATGTCGACAACCCATGCATGTTGAACCATCATTGTACTAGCTGCTCGAAGCCAAGGCCGACAACTTTGCCGTACTCAGCCGCTTCATCACGATGCTGCGGCATGCCGGCAAGCTCGAGCGCGTGCCACGCTTCCTCAAGCTCGCCGAGCGGTCGGGGCCGCGCGTCGCGCACTCGGCCGGGCTGCATTTTTGCAAAGGGCTCTACAACCGGTACCAAAACAACATCCACGACGCAGTCGCCGCATTCAACCTCGCGCGCAAGGACCCTGAATGGGGCAGCCACGCGCTCATCAACATGATTGAGATTTACCTCAATCCGGACAACGAAAACATCTGGGACACGCCCGACGTAGTACTCTTTGCTAAACTTTTTGAACATAATTTGTGTGTCGCGTAGGACTCGTCCAAGGAGCAAACCGAGAATATTCGCATCGCGAACGCGCTCTTGGACGAACTCCCGTACGAGAAAACACTCAAGTTGCGCGTGCTCGAAGCCTACGCCGTCCTCGCCAACAAGACCAAGCCCACGATCGAGAAGGCCATCGCCGTCTTCCTCGAGATCCTCGAGCAAGAGAAGGAGAGCGTGGCCGCGCTCTTGGGCCTCGCGACCGCCTACATGCTCGCCAAGCAGCAGCCGAAGGCGCGCAACCAGCTCAAGCGCATCGCGAAAATGAACTACGACCCGACGCTCGCCGACGAGTTTGAGCGCAGCTACATCCTCCTCGCCGACATCTACGTCTCGCGCTCCAAGTACGACCTTGCCCAAGAGCTCTGCAAGAAAGCCCTTTTGCACAACAAGAGTTCGGGGAAAGCGTGGGAGCTCCTCGGCCTCATCATGGAGAAGGAGCAGTCGTACCAGGACGCGGCCGACTGCTACGGGGAAGCGTGGAAGTGTGGCGGCGAAGCGTCCGCACCCATTGGGTTCAAGCTCGCGTTCAACTACCTCAAGGCCAAGCGGTACGTCGAAGCGATCGACGTGAGCCAGAAGGTCCTCGACAAGTTTCCCGACTACCCCAAGATCCGCAAGGAGATCCGAGAGAAGGCGCAAGCTGGCTTGCGTCCCTAAGTCTTGCATGCCTCTCGACACAGTCATCTCTTTAAACGGACGTTGTATCAAGTTGATATTCGTGCTTAGCCGGCGACCGCAAAGCCTGGTTTCGCCCACTTTTTGGGCTTGTTTTCGACACTTTTGCAAATGTCAATGTGCTGCTGCGCGCCCGACGGCGCAAATTTGCGCTGGCAGCTTGGACACGACACGAACGTCGACTGGTAGTCCTGATACGAGCCCGACGGACCGTGCTTGGGCTTGCGCGGCTTGGGCTTGTCCTTCTCGGACGCCCGGCGCACGACGGAGGGCGGCGCTATCGTGTGGTTCCATGCGTTCTCGCCGCCAAAGACGCGCTGGCAGCAGGCTTCGTGCTTGGCCAGTCGACCCTACGCAGCATGTCCATATACATATATACATGGTTGCCATGGCATCGATGTGCACCTCGGCGAACGTGCGGTTGCAGAATCGGCACTGCTCGGTCAGATTCTGGCGCGTCGGCGGCGGCTCCGCGTAGCGCCTGAGCTTCGTCACTGTGTGGTCGTGGTCGGTGGTTGGCGCCACCGTGTTGTCGTCGTCGTTGGTCTCGTGACGAAGCAGCGACTGCCGACGTCGGCGCTGCTTGAGCAAGACGAGCTGCGCTTTGATCTGCTCGGCGTCGGCGGTCGAAATCGTCGCCGCATACTGCGCCGACCGATCGGCATTGGTTTGCGTCGCCGCGTCGGTACCTGGCTTGGGGAAGAGCTCGTTCACGATGTCGATCGCCTCCTTGAAGACGGCAGTCTGCCCGCTCTTGTGGTGCGAGAGCACGGCGCAGGTCTGCATGTGCGAGAGCAGCTTCCACGCCGGCGTCGACTGGCCGCAAAACATGCAGTACATGCAGTTCTTGGTGCTCAAGAACGACGCGTTTGGGTCGGCCGTCGCTTCATCACCAACGCTCTCGTCTGCCTCGGGTTTCGCCTCGTAGGACATGATGGGCGTGACGATGCGAGGCGCGGTCTTGACAAGGATCGCGTCGTCGGGGCTACGCTCCATGGGTTGCAGATGGTCAGGATAAGAAAGAGGCAAGGAGTACCATGTCCATGACGACTCGCGCGTTCGGCGGTTGTAGTAGTACTTCTTTCCATCGGCTGTATACGCTTCCTTCCACTCGTCCATTGGCGCGTCTTTGGATTCGGCGGTCGTCCCCGAGCTCGACGCGGCCGACTGCGTGAGCGCCGACGCCGACGACAGCCGCGCGGTCGTCGTGAAGGTCGCCAACGACCTTTGCATCTCTTCGTCCTCGGCCCTTCGCTGCTGGAGGCTCTCGTTGACCTTGTTGGCTTCCAGCACGAGCTTCTCGTCCATCTCCTTCTCGAGCCGGCGCAGCCACGAGAGCTCGCTGCCCAGCGCCGTCGGCGACGACGTGCCATGGGCAGGGACATCCTCATCCTCATCGTCAAAGTTGACATCGTCGTCCATGAGGTACTCGCCATGCGCCAAGGACGACGTCGGCGACATGGCGTCGTCGTACAGCGCCTCCTGCTCGCTCCTCGTCGGGCTGTGCATCTTCCAATTTCCAAGAGAGCCAATCACGCGTCGTGGCCTCGCGTACCAACAGCCAATCCGCAACGAGTGTTTGAAAATTATCTACCAATCACGAGGCGCCGTCGACACTGGCTTTTGAAAATACGTGGCACAACACACGGCTCGCACGCCGATCCAATATTAGCCAAGGGCCATCCATCGTATGTATATGTATCGGAGCTCTTGCTTCTGGTCTCGGGCTATGGCTCATACCGGCCCATTGCGCCATGACCCATCATGCTTGGCCTCCGTTAGAGTCACTATGGTGGGCCTGGCGCGTGTCTGCTGCACTGCCCGAGGTCTGATCCGAAGCCACCTCCTGCGCTGGGACACATCCACGGGCCACACGAGCACTGTAGGACAGCATTTGGGTGACAGCTTGTTTCTGCGATGCTTTTAGAAAGCCCGCATCAGTCTCATTCGTGCCCGATGCAAGGCGAATCTCTGCACTGGCGCCTCGTCGTCTACTGGATCCTCTTCCTCTTGCTCGTGCTCGCGCCCCTCGACGCGCTTTTGCAAGCGCTTTTCGAAGCGCAGCAGTGGTACACGATTGACGCTTCCGCCGTCTCGCCCAAGGACGTGACGAGCCCGCTCCGTATTCAGCGTGTCGCCCTCGCGAAGCGGTGGGCCCTCGCGCTGCGCAAGCGGTCTGCCTCCCGCGCACTCTTCCTCGAGTACGTCCCGCTCGTCCTCACGACGTGGGCTTTGGGCGTCGTGCCCGTCTACGCGCCGCTGGATACCGCCGTCGAAGCCGCCCTTGTGCTCACGACGTGCGTCCTTGGAGGCCTTTTTCTGCAGCAAGCCCATACCCGCCAAGTGCTCCAGTACCAGCAAGAACAGTGGTGCCTCTGGGAAGAAAGCATGCTCGCGCAGCTGTCGGCAGCGCACGAGCTCTCGACAGCGCCCGGTTGTTGATGCATCGAAATCTCTACATTTGATAGTGTTAAATGGTTATATACTGATATGTTGTAGCTCAACGGTTCATAAATCAAAGGACGCATCCTCGACTCGAAGGCTAGCCAACACTTCAGCGTGGCGCGAGGGACTGACTTGCTTTGGCCCACGACCCCTCGCCAACGCATCACGTCGACAGTTGCCGGTGGGACGTCCGTGGTCCGGTGGCAAGACGATTGCCAAGTCGACGAGTCTACTAATAGCAACGAGCATTTTGTTAGTACTTTCAAAGCTTCGATAGTCTTATGGAGTTATGGACTATATTGTCGACGATGAGATATTCAAAACGCTCCATCATCGCCGATGACGCAATCAGGCGGTGTGACAAAACGGGTAGGTCCCCGTACTCGGTCCACTGGATTTTGTTTGGCTCCAGACAGGCGACATGACCGCCGAGACGACGCCGCCGAAGGCGCCGGAGCTATCGGAGCCCGAGCTGGCGGCGCTGCTGGCCAAGCTCGATCTGGACACGGGCGACGTTGTGCTCTTTGACCGCAAGTGCCACCTCATGAACGCGTACGGCATGATCCTCTGTGAAGGCGCCAAGATCTTTGGCCAAACGCGCTGGGACCACAACGGCGTCATCTACAAGACCGACGCCGGTACCTGCGCTCGTGTCCGTGCATGGCTCACCGCTCGTAGGCGAACTTATGTTCATGGAGGCGTCGCTCGCCGGCGTCAAGCTGCGCCCGCTCATCGACCGCATCCGCCACAGCCGGTCGTACGAGGTCGACGCTTCCATTGAATCTACGATAAGCTCACACTGCCATCACCAGGTGCGCATCCAGAAGCTCGAGGTGCATCGCACGCCCGAGTTTCGCCAGCGCGCCACCGAGTTTATCAACAGCATCCTCGACGTCCCGTACGAAAAGCGCGTCCACGGTATGTGTTGAGTTTGCCTTTTGAGTTTGCCTTTTGAGGTTGCACTCTAACCTTTTGGCCAGTGATCTTTAACGCGCAGACGCTCGTGCCTGCGCGGGTTGAGCGCGAAAAGCTGTACCACGACATGGTAGCAGTCTCGTCTTGGTCCGATGCTCGCTCATGCTTCGTTCGTAGGTCGAACGACGCCGGCAGATCGAGCAGCTTGAAGAAGATCTCGCGCGCCGGGCCAACATGACGTCGTTTGAGCGCAACTCACTGCGCACGGCGTTGACGCGGCTGCGCGAAGAGCACTCGGCGCTCGTCGAGACACTCGACCACACGGAACGGTACTCGCCTTCTCCTCTTTGAGTGCACCGGCCAACCGAACGATGATGGATGGTAGCTCCATTTTTGAAAACCAGAGCTCGCGCGCGACACCCCAGAGCGTGTTTTGCTCGCAGCTCGTCGCTGCGTTCTACCAGCACCTCGGGCTTCTCTTGCCGTATCCCGCCGCTAATTCCTACGTCCCCAAGCACTTTAGCGCCACGAGCGACTACATGAAGCTGCAGAGTCTGATGCGATGCCATGGGCGCGTCCCTGACAGGTTCTATGCGTAGACGCGGCATGGCTGCCGCAGATCTCGCTGCGCGAAGACGTTGCGGCGACGACGGCGGCGATCGAAGCGGCCAACACGCACCTGCCGCCGCCGCCAGACGCCATCGTCAAGATCGTCCGAGCGCTCAAGCGGCACTCGCTCTTCCACTCGTTCTCCGAGTCGGAGCTCCGAGCGATTGCGAGTCGCTTCCGGCGTCAAGCGTACGCCGAGCCTACGCCGAGCCACTCCATCAATTTGAATGCACTAGGTACGCCAAGGGCCAAGTGGTTTTTTACCAAGGCAGCAGCGGCGACTTTTTCCACGTCATCGAGCAAGGCGAGTGCGACGTGTACGTCGACTATGCGACGTTCCGGCACCAGACGCCGCCGCCGACCGAGAGCAATCACGACGCGACCCCAAGCAGCGTCCTCCTCCGTCGCAATATGAGTCGGTCGTTTAGCCAGCCGTCAACCAAAGCCAATGAGCAGGTAATACTCCGCCAGACGTTTGAAAAAGGAGCGAAATCGCATCTTGTGTAGATCCTTGTCGCCACCAACGGACCTGGCAACACGTTTGGCGACTCGGCGCTCATGTACCGTACGCCCCGTCGCGCGACGGTCAAGTGCCAAAGCGACGTGGTGACGTATGCGCTGGACCAAGACGCGTTCTCGGCCATCGTGTCGTCGCATCCCACGGCGCAAAAATCGCTCAGCGAGCGTCAATTTCTGCTCAGCGCGCTCGGGACGCACCCACTGTTTGCGGACCTCAACGCGCAGGCGCACGCCGCAGCGGTTTGTTCATCTCCTTGATAGAAATATCAACTTGATATTGATGGAAGGGGCTAGGTGCGGCAATGCTTTCCGCTGCGGTTCGCCAAAGGCACGACCATCATCCAGCAAGGCGACTGCGGCGACTACATTTATGTCATTGAGAAGGGCTCGTGTGCGTTGACGCGCACCAAGCCAGACCAAGGTTGTGTTGCATCTTTTTTTGCACCTCCAACTCAAAAAAAATGCACAGAGACGCCGGTGCTGGATCGCGTGCTCGGCCCGAACGACTCGTTTGGCGAAGCGGCGCTCTTGTACAACAGCCGACGGGGGGCCACGGTCACGGCCCTCGACGACTGCAAAGTGTGGTGCATGGTACCGACACGTCTCTTTTTGTCATTTTGGCAGTGTCTCATTTTGGGATGGCCCACGCTAGGACCGCGCGGCGCTACTTACCATCAGTCAGAGCGGGTCGTCGGCGCTGCATCGCGTCTTCAACGACGCCGCCAGCGTCCATACGTCGGATGGCGCGCTCTTGACAAAAAAGGATTTTCTCGACCTTTTCGGGCCCGCCGCACGCGACACGCCGGCGCTCGAGACCGCTGCGTCGGTCTTGTTTCCTGGCACCGAGGACGTGGCCAACTTTTCGCAGTTTGCCAACTTCCACATGTGCCTCGAAGCGTACAGCGGCGCACGCGGCAACCCGCTTCTGGCACAAGCCCTCTTGCGCGTACCCCTTGCTGGCTACCCTTCTCCTCCCCTAACCACACACCATGTGTAGGCGGCCACTGCACACCTGCACGACGACGAGTGGACAGCAGCAGTCTTCAACACGACCTCGGCCGTCAACTATACTGACTGCGTCCATCTCTGCCGCCGCTGGATCGAGGCTCCGACAACGCTCTCGACAGCCGCGCGCGATGTACTCCAGTCGCTCCATCGCGATCTGGGCGTCGTCGAACGGCTCTGGAAGCAAACGTCGTTCGAGGTATGATGCCCTGTCTTCTCTGTGCTTTCTATGATGCTCTCGATAGACGGCGATTCGGCGCCGACCCAACTTGACAACGTCATCGGCCCCCGACGGCCCCGTGCCCTTCCGCACGACCTCGTCGATTGGCTACGTGAGCGCTGCGATTCTCGCGGGCATCTGCGCACGCACGGTGACGGCGCCGCTCGAGCGATTGAAGCTCTTCCGACAGGTGCGCTTGTACCCGTCACAGCTGGGCCTTGGCCAGAGCTGGGCGCGCATGGTGTCGACGGCGGGCCTCCAAAGTAAAGCGTATTGGAAAGAGGATGGTTTCGCAACATGCAGCGTAGGCTTGTTTGCGGGCAACCTCGTCCACTGCGTCAAGATCTTTCCGTCGTTCCCGCTCAAGCTGGCCTTTTGCGACCTGTACCGCCAGCAATTCGAGCATCTCGGTGCGGCATCTCTCTCTCCTCCGTATAAGATACCATGGACGACATAGGTTTGCGCTCCGAAGTCAAGAATGTCGTCGCGGGCGGCTGCGCCGGTATCACGGTCAACAGTATCGTGTACCCGCTCGATGTCCTTCGCGGCCGCCTTGCGCTCCAGCAGGCCATCTCGCCCATGAAGACGTACGCCACGTCCATCGACTGCCTCCGCAGCATGGTACGACGTCATGCATCAATCGGTCGAACATATCGATGTGGGCAGGTGCACACGGACGGCGTGGCCTCCTTGTACCGCGGCTTTGGCATCTCGACGATCGGGTCGTTCGTCTACATTGGGCTCAACTATGCGCTCTACGAGTTCTTCCGCCCGGCCATGCTTCTCGGCGGCGACGACGGGTACAAGCTCCTTGTTTGGGCTTATGTTTTTCTACATTCTTGAGATAGCTTTACGTCGGACGTCTCACGGTCGACGCTGCCGGGGCAAATCGGGTGCGCGGTGGTTGCATCGCTTGGCGCGCAGCTCTCGACCTTTCCCTACGACGTCATTCGCCGCAAGCTCCAAGTGCAGGGGGACTGGCTGCCCGGCCACTCGTTTCCCACGTACGACTACTACTTACGACAACACACCGACTCTCGAATCATCCAACCGAATATAACAATCTAGGTACGCGTCGACGTGGCACTGCATCAAGGACACGGCGCGCGAGACGCCATGGCGCGTCGGCGGCTTTTACCGCGGCCTCGTGCCCAACCTGCTGCGCCTCTTGCCGGCCGCGACTGTCTCGTTTGCCGCCTATGAAAAGCTCCGCGACGATCCGTAGAGAAGCACCCGGTGCATGTATTTTCTCGCAAAAACGTCTCTCCAAACACTTAGTGCACGGCGTCGTAAAAGAGGCTGCTGAGGCCATACCGAATGCCAAAGGCGAGCGCGCAGCAGAACACTTGGAAGAGGAGGAGGAGGACCACCAATTTGCGCTCGGGCATCGGGCCAAAGACGACGAGGAAGAGGTTGAGCACTGTGTAGTTGCTCCGCGTCGACTCGGGCGTGATCTACATGCAGCAGCACGTCGTGCGAGTCGATGGAAATGGACAGCACGAACCGTCGACGGCTCGAGGTTGCCGGTCGCGGCGTTGAATTTTGGAAGCCGATGACGCGGGCACGGTACGAGCTTGAAGAGCTGCGGCATCGAGTAGATGAAATTGAGAATCTGGGGCGCGAAAAAAAGCAGCAAGGTCTTGGAAAAGTGCCCCAGTATGCCCGCAACGGCAAACGTCATGCCGGCGTAGTAGCAAAAGGTGTCTCCCACAAACACCCGCGACGGGTACCTACGACGAACCCCTTTTGTAAATACGCTTTCGACCATGTAAAAGCAAGGCGAACCAGTTGTGGTACAGCAGACCGAGTGTCGTGGCCAGGAACGGCAGCATCAACACCAGCGAGAAATAGTGGTACTGGTCGCCGTCGTGGCCGCGGTAGATCTGGATCACATTTTGAATCACGACCGCCAGCCCAATCACAAACGACTAGGTAGAGGACTTAGTCCTTTCGTGGATGTTGATGTCGTGTAGCAGACGGACCTGGCCCGCTTCGAGGCCGTTGATGCCGGCGTAAATGTTGATCGCGTTCGTGCAGAAGACTGCCATCATGCCCATGTAAACGTAGTAGATCCAGCCTACACATCGATATCTGAGCGCCTGCGACCGCAGCGACGTGTGCACGGACCCAAGTCGATGAGTTCGCCCTGCGCCGAGACCTACGATCCACAAGAGGTAGAGAGAGCGCACGCGACTGGACAACTCTTACCTCGAAGAGAAGGGAGAGGAGGTCGTGGAGCGGACTCGACTCGGCGATGAGGCCGCGAAGAGGCTTGGGAATGACGACGGCCGTGAGGCCAGAGTAGTGCAACAACACGGGAATCGTTGCTAGCGGCGGAAAGAGCAGCTTATGGCGCCACTTGAGATCATGCAGATCGTCCCAAAAGCTAATCATGACTGCGTGACGCGATGTACGAGACGTATGCAAGGTACCCGAGCACGATCATGGCCGTGATCGAGGCGATGCCCCAGCGCATGCTCGACTGGTGCGTCTCGATGAAGAACGTGAGCAGCGTCGCGAGGAGCACAAAGACCGACCCAGAGACAATGCCCAGCGCCTCGGGGCTAGCGTCGCATGAGACGATCGTGGTAGGCATAGTCATGTACTACGTACATGGGCACGTCGCCCGCGGGCGTTCCGCGCTTGCAGAGGTCCTTGCCCGTGAGCTTAGCCGGCAGCTTAGTCTTGACCTTCTCGATGAGCACGGCGACGGCGACGTAGCCGGTTGCGGAGACGGCGCCGAGAAGCGACCACATTGCAGTAAAATGACTTGTGGCCTCGGATTGGCTATCATAAAAATATTGGCGCTACACGGTATATTCATATGCTTTATTTATGTTTTGAAAACAATCCAGAGACCACACGTGGCAGCACGAGGCTGCAGCCCGTGGCAGGATGACCGTCCGAAGACCGTTGGTCCGGCGCGTGGTGGAGGGACTTGGAGCGCTACTAGTGCACTGCGTACAGATAGCACCCAGTACGTCCGCTTCGTGTCGTCCAAAGGCGATAGGTCTCTGCGGTGCGGCAATCATTGCCAGTAGAAAACCAGCACGTTTGCGTGGGTTGGCGCCGTCAATGACGCGCGAGAAGCAACACTGAACCAAGGCGCGTCATCACGTTGTGCTCTATGCGATCCATAGGTAGAGATAACACGTCCTGCACGGCCCGCAACCAGTTTGACGTGTGCACGCATAAAACGTCAATACAGTGCTGGTCACAAATGACGTTAAATAGGTTTTACGCCGGATGGGGTCCTTTTACGTTGGTGGTGTTGAAAGGCGTTATATTGTTTTACGTTCATTTGCATGTCCCGGGACGCGTTTGTGGAGCTCTTCAGCAGCTTTGTCCACGAAGCGCAGTCAAGCGTGGGCTTTGACACGCCTGGCGCCAGCGTGCTCTTAGCAAAGGCGCGCGTCGCCCTCGAGCCGCTCCGCGCTACCTGCCACGAGGCTGCGGACGACGTAACGCAGCTCGAGCAGCGTCTCGCGCACCGACTCGCACACGACGGCGACGATCGGCGCCGCTTCTTGGCCATGGACCGGCAAGGGACCGGCTTTCTCAGCTACGAGGACTTTCAGCGCGCCCTCGACGTATGCTCGCTCGTAAACACAGCGACGTAATGGGATGTATGCTAGCGGCTCAACATGCCAACCGAGCCCGTGACCGTGGCCCGGCTACTACTCAAGTACGACCGTAGCGGTCGTGGCCACGTCAATTACACGAGTTTTCTGCGGTTTCGCCACCTCTCTGATGCGCCCGTCTCGACAGCGCACGCTGCGCAGGCTCAAGTGCTCGCATGTCCGTCGGCCGACGACCTCGCAGAGCTCGAGCGCTGGCGCCACGAGCGCGCCATGGCCCGTCTCCGCACCAAGCTCTACGAAAAAAGCACGTCGTTGCGTCAGCTGTACCTGCACCTGGACAAAGACCGGTATGTGCGCCGCCTCGGCTCGACTCTGAGAGTCTGCTGCTAGATTCGGCGCCCTTACCATCGACGAGCTCCACGACGGCTTGGCCTCCATGGGGATTCTTCTCGCCAAGCCAGAGCTGGACTCGATTGCAGCGCACTGTCCTAGCCGGCACGGCTTGCTCTCTCTCGCCGAATTTTGCCGGCTCGTCGATACCCTCCCAGACGAGGCACCGAAAGGCGACTTCTGGCCTCCGCGCCTCCAGCCGCCCACGCCCACGCCTGCGACTCGTGACGAGGTCCAGCACACAATTGCGCTGGACGACGTCGATGCGATACGCTTGCCCTTGGTCGCGGACCTTGTCGCTGACGGCAAGACGGCGCGCGCCCTCTTTGTCTCGCTCTGCGATCCGCAAGCGCATGCGATCACCGTCCACTCGTTGGAGCTTGCGCTCGCGCGGCGGCAGCTGCACATACCGCCCCGAGAGGCGCTCGTGCGCCTTCTGAGTGCGTACGATAAGACGGGCACCGGATCCCTCGCGCTGCACGAATTCTTGCCGTTGCTGCACCCGTAGGCTGCCACGTATATGCAATCATGTGAATGTATGTAACGTTACATGTCAATCTTGTGGATCGAAAAGTGCACCGACTTGGCGTTGCGGCGGTCGAGCAAGCCGTTGAGCCCGAGGACGCCGGCGGCAATGTCGCAGCAGACGGGGCTCGCGACTACGCCGTCGGCGCGCGTCACCGCCGGCAGCGTCACCCAGTCCGTGTTGAGCGACGTGCGCAGACGGTTGGCGTCGGCGACGTGGACCACAATGTTGCCGTCTGCGTTGCGGACAGGCTACGAAATGATCCAGTCATTGGACTATCGCAAAAGGATAGGCGTACGTTCTTTTGGCCATCCTTGGTCAGCGCCACGTGCATCTCGCCTTTCGAAAGCACTTTGGCCGATGAGTCGCGGAAGCGCGGCTGGAGGCTGAGCACATGGTTGCTGCCCGGCGTCTTGGCGTTGAGCGAGTACAGGTGCTGGCTCGTCGGAAAGCAAATCGCTGACGTTTCCGGCGCCACTTGGAGCACGAACGGGTGTCCGTACTTGAGCACGGTCTTTTTTCCTTGGCGACCACATCCGAGCTGTGCGGCTTGCTACAAAAATGGACTAAGATCTTCTTTCACGATGCAACTCGTTGGTCGACATGAGGAAGCGCGCCGGAATGAACGCGTCGCGCGTGTTGTTGTTTTCCAGCATCTCGGGGCCTGGCACCACGAGGACGTACTGCACATCCCTAGTACGCACCATGCAATCTGCATTGAAAGTCGAGGCGTCGTACGGCTTGGAGACGTCGGTCACGAGGGCGCCCTTGCGCCACGGAAGAAAGCCAAGGGGAACGTCCCCATCCGTCTGCTGCACGTGGAGCTCGAACGTGTCGCCAAAGAACAGGTCGGTGGTTTCGAGGGAGCCGCGCAGCTTCTGCATCGCCTCCGACGTCGACGCGTCGAGCATATCGAGCGCCGAGGCGCGCTCGTTATTGAGCAGCGCCACGTCGCAGCGGTGGCGCAAAAGCAGCTCTGCAATGTCTGGCTTGTTTGTCTTGATGGCTTCCATGAGCGGCGTATCGCCCTAGCACGATCGTTGAAGCTCAAAACGACAAGCCAGCGAGTCAACGTTGTGGAGCTGGGCGTTGAGGTCGCACTCGATTTCGTGATCAAACATCATCGTAAGCAGCGCCATGGCGGCGTCGGCGCGGATGATGTAGAAGAGCGCGGTCGCCCCCGTCTAGAATCATCGTTGCACCTCGATTATTGCAAACCGTTGCAGTCTACTGTGTCGGCGGGGCGCAAGTCGCAGCCTTTCGTCGTCAAAAGCTCCTTTGCCGACGCGGAGCTCTTGCACTCGAGCGCCAGCATGAGTGGCGTTTTCTTGGTGTTCTAAGCGTGCCATTCGGAATGCTTCCGGGTCGATATAGTCGTCTACATGTGTCTGGTCGTTGAGATGACAACCCGCCTTGATGAGTCGCTGCACCCACGCGACATCGTCGACCACAAAGTGCAGCGCTGACTCGTTCTCCTGCGCAACGCCGCGTGAGAGCAGGTTGCAACAGCAGGTAAAATAGATCGACCTGGTTGCGGACCTTGACGTCGGCCTCCTGTTTGATCAAGAGCTCGGCGACATCCCGGAGGCCGTGCCGTAGCACATGCAAGAGCGCCGTGTCACCCTAAACGTATCGCAGCCTTTGCACGCGTGTCTGTCATCATCATGACGCACCGTCTTGTCTCGGTGGTGCTTCTCAACGCCATGGGACAGTAGCTCGGTGGCCATCGCGACAGCACCGGCTTCGGGAAGGACGTGGACAACATACCACAGCGGCGACTCGCCCCGCTAGCCATGCACGGTCGAAACAAACGCACCAAGGCGGACCTGCCTACGGTGTTGGAATGGAGCAGGTTGCATTGTTTTCCCATCAAAACACGCGCCACGTCCGGTCGGTTGCAGCGTAAATGGTACATGAGCGGCGACTGCCCGTCCTACAGCAATTGCTTGGATGCACCGCGCGCTCGTTGCAACATAATGTACCTCGTCCCTGTCGTCGACGGCGCAGCCCTTCTCTAGCAGCGTGGCGACCTCCTCCACCGACGACGCAAAAAAGAGCGCGGATTGCCCGAGCTATCGGCTTGCGGTAAGCGCTTGCGTCAATTGTCGTTGCTGCTACGCACCTTGTTGCTGCGCACCGCGTCGCAGCCGCGCTCGAGAAGCAAGCTCGCAGTGTCGGCGCGGTTCTTCTGCAGCGCCAACATCAGCGGCGTATTGTCCTACATGTGCGTCCGGATTGCACGTTGGCCGAGGACATCGACGGCCGTACATGCTGCGTCGGGTCGCGCGCGTTGATGTCGCAGCCAGCGTCGAGGAGCCTTTTGACCATGTCGGTGCTGCCACTGGCAACCGCTCGGGACAGCGCCGTCACGCCTTCCTACAACCGTCCCATGCGAATACTATCGACGCAAGCGAAGAGCCGTCGATCACTGTACCTTGCTCACGATCGTGACGTTGCAGCCAAGCTCGAGAAGCTTGAAAGCAACTTTGTCGCTCGATTGGTCGAACGCCATCATAAACGGCGTGCGTCCGAGCTATCCATTCGATGCGACATCGCACCATCATCCCAGAGGTTGGTTGTTGTACCGCGTCTTTGGTGTCGACATGGCAGCCGAGGTTGACGAGCCTCTGAACGAGCTCTGGCGTCGACGCCAAGAAGAGCGCTGTCCGTCCGTCCTACGCCGCCGCCGTCGTCGCCGTGGACAAAGCTTTAGCCAATACCGTCGCGGCCACTGTGACGTCGACCTTTGACTCCAGTAGCAGGTCCATCACATCGTTCCGCCCATGTGACATCGCGAGCATGAGCGGAGTCATGCCACCCTGCACGCAGACAACAAGAATGAGCCGAGAGGTGTAGCGACACGTTGTACGTGGAACGTGGCCGCCTGCGCGTTGCGGTTGGACTTCACAAGCGCCGAGACGACGTCGAACGGCGTCGTCGAGATGCCACACGCCAACAGCAGCGGCGTCACACCGGCCTACCGATACGCGTATGTGACTTTTCTCTAGCACGTAGCAACTGACGTGATCGGCCAAGTCGGCCTTTGCACCGCGGTCCAAAAGCAATTTCACGAGCGACGGCGCGTGGCGCACGGCAGCCATGAGCACCGTTTCTCCCTGCGCCCGCACGAGCATAGAGTATACTGTCGGAGTGCTCGCATGACGCACCGTCGTCGAGAGCTGCGTGTTGGAGCCGACGGAAAGCGCAAGAAGGCGCTCGGCGACCCAGACCCGTTTCGTCTCGACGGCACAAAAGAGCGCGGTCCGGCCCTCCTACGCGTGCGATCGTATCGGCGGTCGCAGGAAGCCTCCAGACGGACCGTGTCCGTGGCGCTCAACGTCTGTGGTGCGCTCTTCGTGAGAAGACGCTCAAGCACCTCGTCCGTAGCGTGGCCCTCGAGCGCCGTCATGAGCAGTGTCTTGCCCGACTAGGCGCCGCCATGAGATCCATCGCAACGCACAATAAGAACGTACTTGGTCCTGCTCATCGATCTTCGCCGACGACGTCTCGAGGAGGAGCGCAAGAAAGCGGTCGTCCGTCAACGCCATGTGCAGCGCACTCTCGCCTCTCTATGCGACGCCATAGCGTCGGTCCCCTCGCTCGTAAGATGCTACTACGTACATCGTTGCAACGCTCGATGTCGCACTGCTTGGCCAAGAGCGCGTTCGTCATGGCCTCGTGGCGGTGCCGAAGCGCCAGCATGAGCAACGTGTTGCCCTACAGCCCATCTCAACGTCCATCCACATGGCAACGGCGTCGTACGTCGCCGTCGGTCGCGTTCACGTCGCCACCATAGCCGAGGAGTGCGTCCAGCATGGCCATGTCCCCGGCCACGACAGCGTTCACAAGCGCCTACGCGACTTCCGTCCGACGAGACGACAGAAGTGTCTTCCGTACCACGTCACTGGCGCGGTCGTCGTACTCGAGAAGCAAGCGGACAACATCATCTTTTTGGTGCTGTATCGCCAGCGAGAGCGGCGTCGAGCCCTAATCCGCGGTGGGAGGCGTCCACACATCGCTGCGTCACGTTACGTCTTTGGCCGTGACGCTCGCACTGCAGCCCTCGTCGAGGAGGAGTGTGATAAGGCCCGTGTCACCGTGCAGCACGGCTGCCCACAGCGCGGACTTGCCCGTCTGTTATATTATGAGAGAGATCCTTTGGATGCCAGAAGACGACGACACATGGTACGTACATGATCGGGCGCACCAAGGTTCCAGCCTTCTTTCACCATCTCGGCGACCACGAGCTTCACCACGGCGTCGGCCTTGTGCGCCAGCGCGACCGCGAGCGCTGTTTGGCCATTCTAGCGCGCAGAACAAATGCCGGTCGGAATCGACTGGAACACCGAGCACGTACGGGACCAGCTCGACGGAGGTCGTAGCCGTCTTCGACGAGCGTCGCGGCCAAGATCGGATCACGCTCGAGGGCGTAGTCCCACGCAGAGCGTCCCGCCTACGCGTCGATCGTCCAAGGGCGGTGCGAGGACGTATCCGTTCTACCTTGTCGCGGCAGTCGACGTTGCAGCCCTCCTCGAGCAAGTGCATCATGAGCGCCACATGGCCGTTTTGAATCGCGGCCATGAGCGGCGTCGTGCCCTAGTACGAACGAACATCGATATCCAGACAATAATGGTTCGCCGCAGGTCTCGTACATCAGGCCCTGGAGCATCCATGTCGCAGTTGAACTCAAGCAGCAACTTCGCGACGTCGACGTTGCCCGTCATGGCCGCAAACAACAGCGGCGCCTGCGTCGCATGATGTCACTTGAGACAATGTGGCAAGAGAACACGCACAGGTTCCGCCGCCTTCCAGTCCAATTTGCCGCTTCTGGCCAGCGCATCGATGACGCGCTGCTGCGACTTGCCAATCGCTGCCGAGAGCATGGTCTTTTGCGCCTATTCAGTGGGATAATCGCACCAAAGCGTACATGGCTTTGGTGTCGAACTTTGTTGCGCTCGTTGACGTCGCAGCCGCACTTGATGAGGTAGATAGCCACGTCTTCGTGGCCCGCCTCGATGACCCGCAACGCCGCGGTGCTGCGCTACACAAGAGATATGAGGCGTTGCCACTACATAGATGCCAACCTGAGCGTCGCGCGCGTTAATGTTGATCTTCTTCTTAACGAGGAGCTCGGCAGCCTCGACCGACGATGCGAAGAAGAGGGCCGTTTGGCCGGCCTAGCAAAAGTTCGCGCTACGCCCATTAGCGCTGTCTCAAGGGCACACCTGGTTGCGACGGTTGACGTCGCACGCCGCCGCGAGTAGCTGCTGCATGAGCGCGACGTTGTTGGTCTGTGTCGCTAGCATCAACGCCGTGTTGCCATCCTATCATGGGTGGTTCGCATCGCTTGTGATGGGATACGGACACGTGACCTTGTCCTGGGCGTTGAGAGAGACGTTCGGTGCGCTCATGAGCGCGCTCACATCGTCTCCAGCTCGGATCGCGTCCAAGAGCTCCATCGTCAAAAGTTTAAAGTGACCTTTCCCACGTGGATCTGTAACCAGTTTTGGCGCGCCAAGTCGCGTGTTTCTAGTCCCGTACGGTTTTGTATTTGGTTTGCGAGTTACAAAGGCATAAGCAATTGAAAGACCCAATTTAAAGACATTCATTCACAACGTTTTGGTACAGAAGATATTGTGTTGGCTCTAGTAGCGCCACTTGTTGTGGCCCTTGGACTTCTTGCCCTTGGCGCGGTTCTTGAGTGACGGGCGCGGGCTCGGCTCAGGCATCAAGTAGTCGTCGCAGCCGGGCACCCCGTACGTACACACGTGCGGAGTCGACGCCATCGGGACGCCCTCGTCGTCATAGTCGTCCGCCAAGAAGTGCGCGTTGGGCTCCTTGGGCTCCTCGAGCGCCTTCGTGAACGGGCACCGGTTGCTTTCCGGGTCGATCTTCAGGAAGCGCAAGGTGCGGCTGAGCTCGTCGTCCTCGTACCACGCGAGGCCGTGTCGGTTCAGGTAACCCGACCGCAAAAACATGAGGACACGCTCCATGTGCGCCGCGCTCCAGTCGACAAAAAACGAGCCTACATCGGTCGACTCAAATCCCGCCTCTCAAAAGCTATACGATGTTGATACCGTCGGGCAAGGCCGCGGTCGCGCGGAGCTCGTGAAAGAGCGAGTCGTCGCACTTGAGCAGCGTTTCCCACGTCGTCTCGAGGTGCGTCCCCCCGACGTTGAGCCGAACAGTGGTGGCGGCGACGGGCGGCGATGATGCGTTTGCCGAATGCGCGCCCTCAGGCATCTCGATCGTGTGGCGCGTCACAGGCGAAAGGCCCTGGAGCGACCACGAGAGCCACGCGACAAGGCCGGCCGCGACCACGTAGCCGCCGTGCTTGAAGCGGCACTTGGTCACCGGCTTTGTCGTCGTCGTCGTCGTCGCCTCGACACACGGCTTGGCAGTGTGCACAAAGCCCATACTGTGATCGCACCGTCAAACTGGAAATGAGAGTTTGCTGATGTTCGAAACGTGTGCGGGCTGAAAAAAGGCGGCAATGGGGGTTTTGAAACACCCTCAAGGCGGTTGTCGTTCAAATAATGGAACGCCACGCTGAGTCTTGGATGGATTTGGGCCCTGTATGTATGGCCTTGGTCAATGGTACGGCGTGAGGTCGTCGATTGCCGGCGCTTTGTACTCCTCTCATGCACCTCTGTGTGCAGTGGAATCGTAAAAAGCTTCCGTCATCCGCGTCCTCGCACCGTTCAAGGTTGTTGCTGTTGTTGATGGCGTTTCCAGTACATGTCTCCCTCGCCACGAACCAGTCCCGTGCGCTAGATACGTCAAGCGAAGAGGCATAAGTTGGGGCGTCATGATAAAAGAGTGACCGCTCGTGAAAGCGTCACACGGTGCCCTTGGAGGATCCGAGACTCTCATGGTCGAGATGCCCCAATGCCATTTTGGGGGATGCGCATGTCCTCGGAAAGTTTGATTGCGACGCGTACGATAGAGGTGCTACACCTAAAGAAATAAGAATGAAATTCTTATTTCCGTTGGCTAACCCATATAAAGCGTACGCCGTGAACCTTTGTTAAGCACGAACGCACACTTGAGCCTCGTAATGCTAACGTTACTCGGGTCTACGCACGCGGCGTCACCTTGTCCTCGGCACGAGCAGTACGATCCAGGAAAGAAAAACGTGATAGGGTGAACCAAAAACGTTGATCGCAGCGCAGAGAGAGCAACCGGGAGTTGCGACTGGAAGGAGGGTCGGTCGCCGTGTGGGGCGATCTTTGGATTTGGCAACTTCAACGTGGACGTGACACGCGAGGCGTCCGCCGACCTTCCGGATAGTACATTCTGGAATTTTCCCCAAATCCCTTGCATTTCGACGAAGACGCGTCCTGGATTGGCCAAAAGTCGGCCACCGTGCTTTTATTGGTCAAAAAGGTGACGAGAGGTTGTGACCAAACGGTGGAAGCATCATGTTCATTTGAGATTTTGTCGGCAGCATGGCGAGCGAAGTACGTGGATTCCGTCCGCAAGGAGCGCCCTCCTCATGACGCAAGCGTAGGCGGAGCAGTGGAAGGCCAAGGGCAATGCGGCCCTCTCGGCCAAGAACAACACGGAGGCCATCGAGTGCTACACCAAGGCTATCGCGCTCAACGGGAGCAACCACGTCTACTACTCGAACCGCAGTGCGGCCTACTTGAGCGACGATAAGGCCGAACTCGCCTTGAAGGACGCCGAAGCCTGCATTGGCGTCAAGCCTGACTGGGGCAAGGGCTATGCCCGCAAGGGCGCGGCCTTGCATTCGCTGCAGGACTATGACGCTGCGGTTGCTGCGTACAAGGAGGGTCTGAAGCACGAGCCAAACAACGCGGCGTGCTTGAGCGGTATCGAAGAGGTGGAGAAGGCCATGGCGAGCGCCACGAACCCCCTCGCCGGCGCCTTTGGCCCCGACATGTTTGCCAAGCTCGCGATGAACCCGCGCGTGCGCCACCTCCTCAACGACCCGGACTTTGTCGTCAAGCTCCAGGAAGTCCAGAAGAACCCGTCGAAGCTCAACGAGTACATGGGTGACCAGCGCATGATGACGGTCCTCGGCGAACTGCTTGGCATTGGCGGCATGATGAACCGCGACGACGAACCCGAGGCGCCTCCGGCCCCGAAGGAGACCCCCGCGGCTGCCAAGCCCACGCCGGTCCCCGAGCCTGTCGTTGTCGAGGAAGACTTGACGGACGAAGAGAAGGCGGCGCGTGTCTCGAAGCGTGCGGCCGAAGAGGCCAAGGCGCGCGGCAATGCGTTTTACAAGCAGAAGCAGTTTGCCGACGCCATTACGTGCTACGAGGAGGCGATCGCCAAGGACCCGACCAACATGTCGTACCTCTCGAACCTTGCGGCCGTCCGCATGGAGCTCAAGGAGTACGATGAGTGCATTGCGCAGTGCAAGTACGTCATCTCACCCTATCGTATGATGCCCGATGAGCTCACATCTGTGTAGGAAGGCCATTGAGGTGGGCCGTGACAACCGCGCCGACTATGCGCTCGTGGCCAAGGCCTACGTGCGCATTGCGACCGCGTACATCAAGCAGGGCGAGACGGAGGCCAACCTCTTGGCGGCCATCCAGGCGTACGAGAGCGCGCAGGTCGAGAACCGTACGAACGACGTCGAGAAGAAGCTCAAGGAGGCGTCGCTCAAGCTCAAGAAGGCCAAGGACCTTGCGTACCGTGACCCGGTCAAGGGCCTCGAGGCCAAGGAGCTTGGCAACGAACACTTCAAGAACGGTGTCTTCCCCAAGGCCGTCGAAGCCTACACGGAGGCCATCAAGCGCGACCCGACCAACCCGGTCTACTACGCCAACCGCGCGGCCGCGCTCACGAAGCTCACGTCGTTCCCGGACGCCAAGGCGGACTGCGAGAAGGCGCTGGAGCTCGACCCCAAGTATGTCAAGGCCTACAGCCGCCTTGGCGCGATCCAGTTTTTCATGAAGGAGTACCACAAGGCGATGGAGTCGTACCAGAAGGGCCTCGACATTGACCCGGCGAACGCCGAGTGCCGGGACGGTCTCCGCAGCGTGCAGAGCAAGGTGCAGGCCGGCGGCAACGACGAGGAGCGCGCGGCGCATGGCATGGCGGACCCCGAGATCCAGGCCATTTTGCGCGACCCGATCATGCAGCAGGTGCTCAACGACTTCCAGACGGACCCGCGCGCGGCCCAGCGCCACATGCAGAACCCGGGTGTCATGGCCAAGATTGAAAAGCTCATTGCGGCCGGTGTCCTCCAAACCAAATAAATTGCACACACTTTAATGTCAGGACCACTTTTTGCCCATGCTAGCTTGTGATCTTGAGAATAGCATGTACGTACAAGCAAGAAGGAGGAGTTCGTACGGCAAGTCGACCTATCAGCACTTACTGGATGGGTGCAGCCCAGCGTGTGTACGTCAAATCGCTGGAAAAGTGTACCTACAGCCAAGGGTGCAGCGGGAAGATGACGGGTGTTACATGTTGTTACATATTCCGCCGCATCCAAGTCTCTGTAGTTATAACAAATTCGACGCGGTGTTATCGAACGTTGGAATGACGTATAACGTTCTATAACACCGTTTGGCGGCTCTGTCGCGAGGGTTACTCACAGGTGGCCAGACGCTTTTGGATCACGCGGCGCCGGTGCGACACCTATATTCATTTCCACAGGTTATTGAATCCTCGAGTAGTGTAATACAAGCGGTGTCGATGGTCCAGCAAGCACGCTCGACGCTGGTCTCCTCATTGCTTTCCAGTTCTAACAACTATACCGGCGAGCGACCTACGGCAGCATTTATCGCTCGCCCCGTGTACATCCGAATCGCAAGGGTACATCAATGCAATGTAGTATCCTTGCGAAGAGTGGCTAAACGTGCTTGGCGCCTAATTCCGAAGGGGCACAAGCGAGCAGCGACGTCTGGCCACGGATGCGCCAGGCTTGTGGCAAGGTGGCAAGTGTACCAAGGTAGCAATTGCTCTCGTCGATTGGTCGTCTTCAAGGACGCCACCTGGGTCACCGGCCTGGCTTCGCAGACGACCGATTCCTTGGCCAGACCGGTATAGTGTTGCCGTTCTCGTAGGCTCTTCCAAGGTATAATTGCACCAAGCATGCATGGTCTTTCTGAGAGGATCCATGCTTGCACCTCGCTGTCATCGAGAGCAAGCGACGTGGTAGAATGCAGCTCGTGTCGAAGCCGATTTAGCTTGGAAATGTATCAAGTTTGAGAGGTTTCATGAGCCCCGGATGGCATTTGGTGGCTGGTCGATTGCAATCTCTGGCTCTGTTGGTTCATTCCTCGTTCCAGCAGCATGCGCCCGCTCCTCTCCAGCGCGCTGGGATTAGCCGCGCTGGCCATGACCGGCCTCGCGCAGGTAGAGCCCAATGTGACCGATACCACGACGCCCGTGACACTGCCGTTGACGCCGACGACGGTGCCAACGGTGACGACGCCAACGCCGTCCCCATCGTCGCGCGCGCCCGTGACGACGTCGCCGGCGCCCTCCACGACGTCCATGGCGACTACGCCGCCGCCCAACGGGACGGTGGTCACGCCCATTGTACCCATCACGTCGCCACCTGGCAACAACACGAATGGCTCGTCCGGGTCGTTGACGCCGGCGCCGACGACCAACCTCGTGAGCGTCCAGTGCCCGTTTGTCTTTTCGTCGGCGATTCTCTCGACACAGATCGACGTCGTGCAAGATACGACGCCCAACACGAACAGCAGCAGCAGCAACACGACCAACGTCATTACACTCTCGCCGCCGACGAGTGTCCCGAGCCCGAGCGCCTCGAGCGAGCCATCGGCGACGCCGACGACGACGCCTGCCAAGACGGTACATACCTTCTATTTCTACGTTGGATGCCAACATAGAATATACGTGTAGACCAAGAGTCCCAGCACAGCGACCGCGCGCCCGACCTCGACGCCGGTCCCGTCGCCCAGCCTTCGTCGGCGACTGACGGCGTCGGGTGCGTTCTCTTGCGATGCAACGTTTTACGGCAAGTGGATCTCCAGCGGGCTCAAGTGTGGCGGTAAAGGTACCCTATCAACGCTGCGATCCTCGTCTCATGGTGATCGCAGACCTCGATGTCAACCAAGCCGTCGCCGCGGCGGCCTGTGCCACGTACAAGGGCGAAGTCCCGCTCTCGGGCGTCACAGTTGACGCCTGCCTCTCGACGTGTCTCTTCCCGTCGTGCGTCAACGACATGTGGGACTACTCGAGTCGCGGCAGCGGTCTCGGCAGCGCCATTTACAATGGCGTCGACTTTTCCCAGTGGCTCACGCCCGCGATGAAATCGCAGCTGCAGGAGAAGACGCAAGGCGCGGTGACGCTCCAAACGTTCTCGATGGCCAACGCCAAGACGTGCACGTCGTACAATACGTGCTCGTGCCCGACGGTGCAGAGTGCCAAGACGCCCAACAAGGACGGCCAGAACCCGAGTGCGAGCAACCCTGCCGCGAGCCTCGTACGACGCCCGTTCGTTTGCACCGATCGTATCTTAGCGTCTCTGTAGATTAGCAACTGGGTGCCGTCGACGCGCATCGAGCAGGCTGCCGTCGCCGCCGCCAGTGTGTCGCAAACGACCGTGTACGCGTCCATTGCAGTCTCGGCGACGACGGCGGTCGCTACCTCGGTCGGTGCGGTCGGCTCGTCGGCGGCGACCGCGACGTCCGTCGGTGCCGGCTCGTCCGTCGCCGTCAACATCATTAGCGTGGCCCAATTCTGCGTGAGCACGTCGCAGCTCAACATCGACAACATGCCGGCGGTCATCACGAGCATGGGCGCCAAGCTCTCGTTCACGACGCTCTCGTTCCTTGTGTGGGACGGCGCCAAGCCGATTGCAAGCACCACCAACAACAGCAACAGCTCATCAGCAGCATTCGGGCGCCGCCTCGACGTCACGGGCGACAACTCGATGACGGGCATGGAGCGCTACGCGCTCTCGATCGGGATCGCGCCTAACAAGCTCTTGTACGTGACGATCGTGGGCTTGATTGCGCTTGTAAGTGCGCTTGGCGTGCTCCTGTGCTTCGCGCTCGTGGGCGGGAAGCTCTTCTCGAAAGACTTTGGCGCGTTCCAGGTCAAGGTCGTCGACCATGCGATCGGGGCGCTGGTGACGCTCCTCATTGTGAGTCAGTACGCAATCGGCGTCACGGCCACGTTTGAAATCAACCGCGTGTACCGCGACAGCGAGGCCCTCGGCGTCAGCGTCTTTGTCGCCGTCCTCTCGCTCTTTGTGTTTGCGATCGGTATCATGGTGTACGGCTACTACGTCGTCCGGCAGCATGAGGACGACATCCTCGACATTGGCAGGAAGGACCACTTTGAGAAGAAGGTGCATCGGCGCTACGGGTGCCTCTACGACGAGTACAACTACGAGAACCGGTTCTTCTTGTCGTCAAGATGCTGCTCGCTCTCCTCTGCGGGATGACCACCGGCATGGCCAACTGGGCAGGGCTCACCCAAGTGATTGTGCTCATGACGCTCAACGTCGGCTTTGTGCTCTTTTTGGAAGTGCGCCAGCCGCACTTGGCCAAATTCGTGCAGCAGACCACGACGCTCATCACGATCATGAAGATCGCGTCGCTCTCGCTCACGATCTTCCTCCTCACGACGCTCGTGGGGCTGCCCGAGGCAGCGCGCAACATTGTGAGCACGGTCATTCTCTCGCTCCAAGGCCTCGTCGTCGTCTTCCTCCTCGTGCGCCAAGTCTTTATCTTCTACCGCCAATACAAGCTCAAGAAGGAGACAACCGACAATGAGGATGCCGCGACGGACCGCGCCGGCTCGATCACCATGTACTACAACCAGTCGCAGCCGACGCCGCCGGACCAGCTCGACCAGCGCGCGGCGCCGCAGGACAACAAACGACTGCCGCCACTCGGCCAGAACCCACGCCAGCATTCGTTCGAAGCCGGGAAGGAGTACTACCTGTAGATATTTTATAGATGCATGGTACATTACGAGCCAGAGCCCTCGAGCAGGCATTTGGTGCTGCTTCAACGTGTTGCTTTCGTCGATGCCAGACAGACTAGCCAACAGAGATTGCACGGTTGATACATTGATAGAATCACAAACGTCGCGTTGCACAAATATCAAGGGTCACGTCAGAATGCAATGGTCCGAATGTCATTTCTTAATCAAGTAAAATCGCAAGGTTTCGGGGACCCTTCTTGCACGACTACTGGCTCATGCCGAGCTCGATCGTGTCGCCTTGGTCGCTCGCCTTGTGCATGCTCTCGCGCGTCTTCTGCCACACGTGGAGGAGCTCGTCGCGCTGTCGCCGCGCGCCAACGTGGCCCAAGTCGGCGGCGATCGTGAGCCACTCGAGCGCGCGGTCGGCGTTTTGCTCGCCCATGTACAGCCACCCGAGCTGCGCCGCCGCGTCCTACAAGAGCTTATAGTTGCAACCCAGTTTGCGACGGGATACGAGGACCTTGTCCTTGGCGATCTCCCAAGCAGTGAAGAGCAGCGTGCGCGCTTCGTCCCATGCTTCGTGCTGCTGCAAGACGTACGCAAGGCCCATCATGGCCAAGTCAAAGTCGGGTTTGAGCGCAATGGCCTTGCGGTAGTGCTACGCGCTTCTTAGTCATCATGTAGGATGCGAAGAGCACCTTCTCCGCGTGGAGCCAGCGCTTTGCTTCGGCGCAGTGGTTGGCGTAGTTGTACAGTAGCTCCAAATGCTCACCGTCGACGCTGAGCCCTTTCTCGTACCTAGCACAGGCAACCTTTTCGTCCGGTATCCTCTGCCACTCGGTGCCGTACCAGGAGTCGGCTTGCGTCGAGTTGCCGAGGTGGCCGTAGCTCAGCGCAAGGCTGTTGGACAAGTAGGCGCGCATGAGCTTCGTCTCGTCCTTCGTGGTGACCTTTTCCTAGGCAAATGGCCGTTCGCTATGCGTCGTCTACTGGTGCACGAACCGCATCGTGTGTGCGCACGCTGCGCAGCGCCGCCTTGTAGTACTCGATCGCAACGTCGTACTGCTCGGCCGAGTAGTACGAGTCGCCGCGCCGCTTGGTCGTCGCCACGTCCTTCATCCACCCGGATGGCGTTCGGAGACTGTCGCTGGCATTGAACTCAATGGCATCGGAGAAGAAGGCCATGAAGATCGCCAAGATCACGATCGCCATTGGAATCCCAAAGACCGCCGTCTACGCGTTAGGCTGCATGCTGCGTGGTCCATGGCAGTCGATGCAAGGTACCTTGACCAGCGTCCCCTTCCGCTTCTTGGCATCGTCTTTGGCCTTGAGGCGCGTGGCGAGGCCCTGCGGCTTGGACATCTCGTGGGCAACTGCCGCGCCCGCTCGCAGCGGATCCGATCCGGATACTTTGTCGAAGGTTGGGTGAAAAGTTCGAATCTCGAAATGCGGCGTTGATTTTATCGCATTGCATACAATATGTAGTATCATTTTATTGTCGCGGAACGAGCGTATCCGGACAGGATGGGAAGTTGAAGTTGCCGCGTCCAGCGCACGACGCCACCGCCAGCTTGAGCACGAGGAACGATGGGGACCGTAGATGTAGACGCAAGACATGGTGGATTGACATCGCATTAGGTACACCGAGACGCTTACTTGGCCGCGGCCGCGAAGCGCTCCTCGACGTTCTTCCAGTTGACAATCTCCCAAATGGCCTTGAGGTAGTCGGGGCGCACGTTCTTGTAGTCCAAGTAGTAGGCGTGCTCCCAGACGTCGACGCCGAGGAGCGGGATCAAGCCCACGGTGCTCAACGGGTCCTGGTTGGCCAACGCCGCGTACTGAATGCGCTTCTGGACCGGGTTGTAGCCCAACCAGCCCCAGCCACTGCCCTGGACAGCGGCCGTCTGGGCACTGAACGTGGCCTTGAACGCTTCGAACGAGCCAAACTCCTTCTCGATGGCCTGCTTGAGGGCGCCCGTGGGCTCGCCGCCACCGCCGTTTTTGGGCGGCGCGAGGTTGGTCCAGAAGATCGAGTGGTTGATGTGGCCACCGCCGTTGAAGCGGATGCCCTGCTGCAACGCAATCATCTTGGGCACGTCGTTCTTGGCCTGCGCCTCAGCGTACTGTTCCGAGAGCGCATTGTAGTTGGTCACGTACGCCGCATGGTGCTTGCTGTGGTGGAGCTCCATGATCTTGGCCGAGATGATGGGCTCGAGCTCGTTGTAGTCGTAGCTCAGCTCCGGGAGCATGGCCTTGGCCGAGAAGGCGCGGACTTGCTTGGTCGAGTGGCGGCGGATCGCTTGCATCGTGGGTTGCTAATCACAGAGTGAACAAGTCCTGGCCACAGACAGACGTGCAATCCGGATACATGGACCGATCCTTCCGGATATACGGCGAATCTTCGCGAGCGTCCAACGTTGGAGTGTGTTAGACCGAGAAAAACGCGTGTAGATGCGTTCCACTGGATGTTAGACCTCGTCTGGTGTATGTTATACCTCCAACGGTCTGTTGGGTGCAAGGTTATAACACTACACGATTTTGTAAAAAAGGCGCTCGTCGCTGGCGAATTCGTTCATCGACGCGTGCGTGGGCTGGCGCTGCTGTAGCGTCAGCTTGTACAAGTCTTTGACGAATGCGGCAATCCATCCGCGCACTGCCGCATGAGCATGATGCCAAGCAGCTAAGAAACCACAGCGATCCCGATGCAGCCATGCCCACGCAGCTCTACAGAGTCTGTAGAGCTGCATGAGAATATGGCAACGCTCCATTGAGCCGTGTGGCCCGGCTCGAAGCGAACAAGTGCAAAGAAAGCAAGTGGAATCGTAGCCAAGAGCCTGTCGAACCCCACGGCCTCATGGATCCAACAAGCGTGTGTGTGGCCAGAGATGACCTTGTCCACCTTATAGCTACGAAGCTCTTGTTCACGGCCAAGTCTAGAAGCACATTGGCAGCGATGAGCTGCGGCCTCGAGCTGTGTCAGCAGCACCGTTGGGTGAGCTCGTTGGGTGCGATCCTAATTAGGCCCGGATCGTCCAGGCAAGATTCGGTGTAATAGGTCTGTTTTTCAGCCAATCACAAGTGACCACCACATTGCCCAAGTAGCCAATCCGGACGTGGTCGGGTTTGTCTTGGGATTTGTATGTGCAGTGTGTAGCGCTACGCTAAGCCCCTATTTTTGGTTGAGGCAGCATGGGCCCAGGAGCAGCTAGCGCCGGCGGGGACTCGCGATCGCTGACGGAGCCCGTCTTCTTGGAGCGCGTCGCCGCGTCCGTGGGCAGGTATGCTTCGTGCGCTCTGTGTGCATCGGCCTCATGCAGCGAGTCCTAGAAAGTGGCAGCACGTGCTGGACCAGAGCACGATCCACGTGACGGGCCGCTGGGTCTTCTCCGCCGTGCTCTTGGTCGTGTACCTCGCGCGCGTCTTGACAATCAACTCGTTCCACATCATTACGTATGGCCTTGGTATCTATTTGCTCAACCTCTTCATCGGCTTCCTCTCGCCGCAGGTTCGTTGCAACCACCACGTCGCCATGATTGATTTGCTCATGCGTCTGTCTAGATCGACCCCGAGACGGAGGGCCCCGTGCTGCCGTCTTCGAAGAGCGAAGAGTTCCGCCCGTTTAGCCGCCGCGTGCCCGAGTTCAAGTTTTGGTATGCGACGACCAAGGCGACGTTTTACGCCCTCCTCATGACGTTTTTCGAGATCTTCAACATCCCGGTACGCCGCATGCCAGTCGCATATGTCGGTCGCTCATTCGATTGCAGGTCTTTTGGCCCATTCTGCTCATGTACTTTATCGTGCTCTTTACGCTCACGATGAAGCGCCAGATCAAGCACATGTGGAAGCACAACTATGTGCCTTGGAACCACGGCAAGCAAGTCTACAAGGGCAAGCCCCAAAAGGACAGCAAGTAGGAGGTAGCGAAACACGCTGTGGTCGAATAGATTGATATCGTCCTTCATAATAACGTGTCAACGGTCACTCGTACTCGCAGCCATCGCCGACGTGGTTGGCCGCGGTATCCTCTCGGCAACCGCGAGCGGCGGCAGCCCCTCGCTCTCATTGTTGTTGTCGTCTTCGCTGCCAGCCAGCCTCTGGCTCGCTTTCGTCTCGCTTTGGTGGATGCCTGACGTTTCCGGTGGTCCTTTGCACGTCGAGGGGCGAGGCCGGGCTTTCAGCAAAATCTGAGGCAACAGCGGCGCTGCTGGCTTCTTGTGGCCGCGCAGCCGCTTGCTGTACGGCGACGCTTGCACCTACCGAGAGTGCCTTGTCCGATCGAAGAGGAAACACTGTACTTGTTCGAGCACGTGCAGCACGGTCTCGGGCTCGGGCAGCTTCTTGGTCTTGACGGCGTGGGCCATCGGCGGCACTTTCTCGTGGAGCATCTCTACGCCACTGTGATGCCGATGCTGCGCAGGGCCATGGTATACCTCGTCGCTTGGCCTTGTCTTGTGCCAGCATGGCATCTACGTGAAACATGAGCGTGCAGTAGGACTACGCCAGCGCAATGGTCCAACCCCACGCGGCCTGTTCGGCTTTCTTGCGCTGCCGCTCGGCGCGGTCAGCCTCTCGCTTCTTCTCCTTCCAGCGCTCAAACTGCGCCTCTACGCCACGCCATTTCGAAGCGGATGCCATGGGAACGACGGCTACCTGCGTCGCCGGGCTTTGGCGCGCGCTCTTGCAAGCTCGCGAGGACGGTGTCGTCCTCCTGCATACAGTAGGTGATGCGTCTTTTGTCAAATTGGTAGGTAGTCGGACGTTGACGGACCTGCTTTTGCTTGGCGAGAACGTCGGCCTTGCGCTGCTTCCATCGGCGCCACACCGCGTCGTTCTCTTCGTTCGAGAGCTCTTTGGTTTTCGTCGGTTTAGTCGACGCCGGCTCTTGGAGGCGGTGGCGGTACTGGTGGCGCTTGCTTTTGGGCGGCGAGAGGTCGAGTTTCTGGAGCTCGCGCTTGGGCAAGAGCAGCGCGTCTTGGTACTTTTGACGGTACGCGTGCACGCCCGTAATGCTCTCTTCGTACTTCTTCTTGGACGACGGAAGCCCGAGGCGCGCCAACATGCCAACGCGGCGCAGTTTACGAGGTCGAAAAACGGAGCTCGAAACGCCTCAAAATGACGTCGTCGTCGTTGCTACCGTCGACTCGGACGCAAGAATACCTCGGCGTCATCTCACAGTAGCAGCAGCAGTAGTAGTAGTAGTAGTAGTAGTAGTAGTCGTACGTGTCACAACTGAGCCTCATTGCAACCGGATTTTCCTTGGCTCGAGGCTAGAGATGCAACACCAAAGCCAATGTTCATGAATAGTGAAGTGTTAAGAAGACGGCTTCTCGATCGATGCGAGGTGATGGCGCACAATCTTGGCAAAGCTGCCGCGCTTGAGAAGCAGGTAGGCGACGTCCAGCAGTCGCTTCGCTTCACTCTACATCCATCCATCCATCGCATGAGCCAATGCAATGCATGTAGTCGTACGCTGTACGTCTCACGGTAGGCAAAGAGGTCGAGTCCCAGCTGCAGCGCCGTGCCAAACTCACACTCGTCGCACGCAATGTTGGCGCGCGTCAGCAGATCGTCGACATCTTTACTCCGCGGCTTGGACAAAAGCTGGTGCAGCTGCCGGCTCTGCGTCGGAAGCGCCCGGAAGCCGACGCCCGTCTTGGGGTGGATCGGCACCCAAATGCCCAAGCCACTCAGCGTCGGCGCAGTCCACTTGCGCTCGCACATCGCAGCTCTGGGCCGCTTCGTTTCTCGCGTTGCGGCCGCAAAGGGAGCAAACTGGCACAAGAGGCTCTCGACTGTGCCATGGGGCTGCTCGAGCAGCTTGGCGTAAAGCACGTCCACGAGGCTGCGGCCTCGAAACTCAAACGCTGCCTAGTGCAGCGCCTCACGTAAGCGCGAGCGTCATTGGAACTCGCACACAGTATCGTTCGCGCCTTCCACGACGAACGCGGGGGTGTCTTTCGGCGCGTCGCTACACGTCATGAGGTCCTGGCGGTGGCCATTCAAGGTCTACCGAAAGTAGCCTAAATGCAAGGTCGCCGACGACACCACCGTGATGACCTCGGGCGGGTCGTAGTAGCATCGTCCGTGCAAGAAGACCTACGTGCCACCAAGTTAGCTTCAACGGTCCACTGCAAGACGACGAGGTGCTACCGGCGTCGGCAAGGCCGGTGCATTCGTCAGCGCCATGTACGGGCCCGTGAGCTGGAGTCCGAGCGACGCTTTGAACGCATCTACTACACGTCAACGCTTTTCAACGAGGTGTGCGACCAGCACCGTGAGGCTGCTCGGGGGCAATTTTTTGGGCAATGGCATACAGCGTGAAGAAATCGGCCGGCGCCTCAAAGTACCATTCCTTTGACAGCGTCGCCTTCCACGCTGCGACTTGGTCATCGCTAAAGCCATGCGAAATCGGTGCATCGACCGCGGCCGTCGGGACCTCCTTCGGCCGGCTGCGCTTTGAAGCGCGCGTCGGGGCCATGGCCAAAGATTATAGACTGATTTTGATTGGTGGCTCTCTAGCCAATCACAGACGCGTATTACGCTGGATGAAATCAACCCATCTCTGCCACCGACTGCTCCCCTACTACGCGCGTGGCGCTCTTGCTCGGGTTCATACAAAAGTCAGCGGAGCGCCATGCCCGCGTCAGTCACGGCGTCCTCGCATCATAAGCGTCGTCTTCCTGCTCGGACGTCCACGGAAGCAATCACCGTGATGGTCATTTTTATGATAAAAGTCGATGCAAACTGACACACTGCCCGCCAAACGCTACGGCCATGCGTCGTGCCATCCTTACATATCGTCGAGGCCAAAGGCGTGGACGTGGAGGCGAGGGACATTCGGCAAGGTTGCGATGACGGTCTGCATAAAGCCAACGGGGCCGCAGACCGCGACCATCGAAGCGTCCGGGCGCACGGCTGTGAAGTCGTCGGCCGTCGGCCGGCCCTTGTGATAAAACACGTGCAATTGCGCCGACGTCATCGTATCTTTGAGCTCGCGCTGGAACGGAGTTCCGGACGTTGTGTAGATGTGAAGGTAGATGCGCTCGCAGCGCACATCGCTGACAGCGTCCGGCAGCAGCGACAGCATCGTCGAGAGACCCGACCCGCCCGCGACCAAGACGAGCTCCGAAAACAGTCGAGGCTGGAGCGCAAACGCGCTCGGAATCGGCGTGAGAACGTCAATCGTCGATCCCAGCGCGACGTCGTGCAGCAGTGGACTCAACGCGCCCTGCGCGACCCGCTTGACGAGGACGCCCATGCGATGCGGCGCGTGCGCCTTTCTTGCTACCAGCGCCAGCGGCACGGGCGTGTACGACCGCGTAAGACCCGCGAGCCGCAGCGCGCAGTGATGCCCCGGCGTGACCCGGTGCAGGACCGTTCCGGTCGGGGACTCGAGGACGAGCAGCGCCAAATCGGGCGCCACGAGCTTCCGCGCCACGAGCGTGCAGGGCTCAAACGTCGTGTGCAGCAGGGACGCAAAGGCGGCTGGTGTCTTGGCAAACGCCTCCGTGAGCATGTACGCGAGCGCAAGCACGACGAGCGAGACGACGCCGAGCCGCACGCGCGTGTCGTCTTGGATGTGCGCGGCGAAGATGCTCTCGAGGATGATGGGCACCTGGTCGAAGAGCGGGACGTCTTGCATCAAGGAGAGGCTGTGGAGCAAGGCAAGTCCTGGACGCATGGCCATGATGGCTGCCGCAAGGACGTACGCGCGCGTCATGTAGTACCGGTGCAGCTCGATCTGGCCGCGCGTGATGGCGTTGACGCCAGCATAGATGGCGTGGGCCCAGAGCGGGGAAAAGAGGGCCGCGGCGACGAGGATGCCGAGGCCGCCTTCGAGCGATGTCTTTGCAATCAGCATCATGGTCCAGACAGCGACAAACGCGATGGCGGCAGCACTTAGCGCCGCATACCCGATGATGCGGTGGCGGCGCAGATCCGATGTGCGAAACGCAGGAAAGAGCTGCAGCGTCGAGAGGAGGAGCCACACCGACCCAGAGAGGACGTGGACGTAGGCTGCGTAGCGCACTGTCGTGTCCCTGTAGATGCGGACGGCGCCAATCGGTGAAAAGATAAAGTACACGAGAACGTAGGCTAGGACAAAGACGACGGCGACAATGGCGGCAGCCCAGCGCAAGCACTGAAGGCCCTTGGCATCTCGGGCCAGTTGCCGACGCATGGCAACGGCGCGGGCCACATCTGGCTCCACCTTAAAGGTCTTTGCGTGCACCTTGGCCGCTGTCGACATGGCGGAGTGTTGACAAGTGCCATCTCAACCCATGGAAGCTCTGGATCTGGTCGCCGATCCTTGAAATAGTGTGAAAAGCGTTTGGGAGACTTGTGCGCGCTTGGTAAAGCGACCGCGTCCAGGACAAAGACCTTGAGCTCGCTCTTTGTTAGTCTGTGTGCCGGTATCGTCAGACGATGCGTACCCAATAGCAAGGTCCGAGAAGGTGCTTGGATCCTTCACTATAACACTATTTCAATGAGAAAGGCGGCCAAGCATTGATGATGCCAGCCATCATCATCGCTTGACCTGCCAGTGCAAGATGACCTGCAAGGTGCAGGATGATCGCCAAGATGCGAGAGATGGCGGCCAGTGACGTTTATGCAGAAGAGCCATTGACCAAGGGACACTGGTACCCGACGAAGCTAACGCTACCACCGATGTCACTGGCTCACCGCGTTCCTAAACGGGTCCTATGGGTCTCTGCTTCTTGGGCTTCCTGAAGAGGGATCCTATGGAAGCGTTCTGGGTGGCCAGCGATCTTGCGTTTGGCTTAGCTCCTGCGATGGCGCACGAGCTCTCGTCAGGATGGCATCGTTAATGCGCCATCATTGCTCCCATGACCACGATATAGAATTGTGCCTGACCTCCCGTGCTGGCGATGATGGGTCGCTGCGACCATGCATACGACGTCCAGGCGCGGCTCCTTTGTGCAGCGTGGTAACATGGGGGCCAGGAGGTGCGATGGCCAGGACGAGGCAAGAACCTGCATATCGAGGCGCGAGAAGACACAGTATCGAGCGCGAGGAGCGACTACGGTGGTCGTAATCGAACTTTGTGCATTCAGATTAAGATCAACGAGGTACTTCCGAGCGTCGTTTTGGTGAAGAATGAAATGAGGTCGTTTAGATACCGGCTTGCTTGGCGCGGACGGCAGCGTAGTAGGCCTTCATCTCTTCGCGCTTGTGGAGCGCGCGGCGGTGCGTACCGAGGCGCTTCTTGGTGAACTTGTAGATGCGCTTCTCGGCCGACGAGCCGCCCGACTTGATCATATCAAGGATGCGCTTCTCGTACGGCATCAAGCCGACGACTTCGCGGACAATGTTGCGCACGAACTGCGTCTTCTTGCCGGCGCGCTACACAGATCCATGAGCTTCCTCGTCATCTTCATGGGCATCAAGAACGTACGCCCTTCTTGGCGGCCGGGCGGGGCGCGACTTCGCGCTTGGTGACGGGGTACCCCTTGGCGACACCGCAAGCAATACCGGTGGAAGACATCTTTCTCTTTACTTTCACACTAAAACTGAAACTTGGAATAGCTCGTCCGTGCCTCCATGCCCATGGACCTCGCCAACCAATGCTTTCCACCAATCATCTCGCGTATTCGGATACGTCCGGATAACCGACCTCTCTCTTTGCATGTCAATACTCTCAGAATCGATATTCTCACACTGGCCGTTCATTGGGTCGTGTCGTCACCACTCAATGCGCGGCGTCCCGACGGGAGTAGTGTAGACACACTATTTCTGATTTCCATACAAAAGCCATGGGCATCGCACCGGTGCGCTCTAGGAGCGTTGTCCGCAGCACATGCCCGCGGCGCTCCGCGCACGTAGCAAGCGTAGGAAGGCTCGATACTGGCTGCGTCATGGAGAGCATGGGTGTCGGCTGAGGCATGAAGGGTTAGGCTACACTATTTGATGGGCGTGACAGCATTTCGGGCACGCCGTGGTACACTGTCTGGTACACTGTGCGTGCGGGTGCAACCGATCGGTTACGGTTAGAATACATAGCCGGCTATGTATACGGTTTGAGAGGGCTTTTCTAGAATGTCTTGACGTAAGCATCCCATACAAATCGGCTGTGATCTTACGCGTCATTTTCCTATCTTGCAATCTTGGATCATGTTCGGTTCCCGTGGCATGTCGCGTCATGCGGATGTGCTCGAGCGGGCGGTCCCGACGGCGCCCGAGGAGCTCGGTCGCCTCGTCGAGGAAATCAAGCGTCGCGGCAACCAAGCCTTCTCGGCCAACATCCTCGAAGAAGCCGAGATCCTCTACTCGCATGCGATCGAGATTGCGCTCCCGACGATGGGCGTTCACATCTTGCACAGCAACCGCAGTGCGACGCGCCTCAAGATGGGCAAGTTTGATCTCGCTCTTGAGGACGCCGAGGCCGCGACGACGATCGATGCTTCGTTTGCCAAGGGCTACTTCCGCAAGGGCCAAGCCCTCATGAAGCTCAAGCAGTTCGACGCCGCGATCGACGCGCTCACGACCGCAGACAACCTCGAGGCCAACAACGCAAGCGTCAAGAAGGCGCTGCAGGAAGCCATCGCTCTCAAGGCGGCGGCTGGCACGGCCGCCCCGACGACCCCGCTCTCCCCCAAGAAGAAGACGGTCTACAACAGCACGACGACGACGGCGACGACCAAGCCCGCGTCCGCGAAAACCGTGACCAAGAGCGAAAAGGTCATTGATGACGACGACGAGGTCGACGTCAAGGGCGTGCGCGGCTATAAGAAGTTGGCGGACGGCCGTGTCACGACCTTCTTCAACAACGAGCTCTCGGAGGCGGACAAGGCGCTCATCGGTGACATTGCGCCGCAAAAGATCCAGGACGTCAAGGCCGTCACCATCGCAGCCGTTGAAGGCGGGTCGGCGTGGAACCAAGGCAACACGTTCGAGGAGCGCGATATGACCAAGTTTGCCCACGACCGTGTCTCGGAGCTCGTGCGCGCGACGGTCCCGCAGCCGTGCACGCTTGCCGGCGCGCCTGGTCTCGTCGTCGTCAAGGACATCAAGGACATGTCGGGCGAAGCGTCGATCGCCGTCGTGCGCGGTGCGAAGCGGTGTGTTTCTTCCTTCTCGTATCGCCGATGTCTTGACATGTCCATGTGTAGGTACATTTTCGACCTCCTCTTCACGGTCGAATGCGAATGGAAGGCGACGAACGGTACTGAGACGATCAAGGGCCAGCTCAAGTTTGTCGACATGAGTTCCGACTGCGGCGGCGACTACGACGTCGAAGTCGTCGTCGCCGAGCGCTACACGCACCCCAAGGGCAAGGAGCTCCACCAAGCGCTCTCGACGAAGGCGTCCTCCGGTCTCCAGGCCGCGCTCTTCCAGCAGCTCAACATCTTTGTGAAAGAGTACCAATCGAATTAAGCCGTCCTCAATAGTATTGCTGAGTGCACCTCGTCTTAGCTCATGAGGTGGCGCCATTGAAAGCTCATGGTGACCGCGTGCGAGTACTCGGGATGGATGCCGTTTTGGAGCGGAAGCGTCTCCTTGACGACGTCTGCGCTCGTCGGCAGTCGCTTCCGGAGTTCGAGGACCGACGTCGTAAAGTTCCCGAGACTGGTCGCCGTGCCGGCACGCGGCTGCGCAAAGAGCTCGACGTGCAAACTCGCCGTGTCCACCGAGTAGACAAAATAGCTAAACCTAGCCCGTCCTTGGGTCACAATCAGTGTTGCAGGATGTCCAGGACGTACTGCTCGTTCCAGACGACCGACTTTTGCTGCTTGACGAGCGCTGTCGTGTAGCTCTGGTTCTCACACGTCAAGACGCCATGCATGGCTGGTGGGTCGATTTCGGCGGCGGCCGTCACATTCTCTTGGGTGAGCTCGACCGAGTAGTGGAGCGTCACTTGCAGCATGCCGACGCACACGTCCGAGCCAAGACCTTCGATGGCTATGACATCAACCATATGGAAGCATTCCCCTTTTCGTAGTAAGCACGTACTGGAGCGGTGCCCTTGGGCCGACGTGGGCGCTTTCTTGGTACAGTAAAAGAGTCGTCGACACACGCGTAGGTAGAGCTGCCCGGGTTTGGCCACCGACGGCCAGCTCAAGTCGATGCGGAGATCGTGGTCCTGTCCGCCAGGGTACATTTCACAAAGTCAAATAGGCCGTTAGACGGTACCCGCTTCACGGCCAGCGCGCCAACGTCGATGATCGAAGTGCACACGACCTCGTCCGGGAGACTCTTGTGGTGGCGCCATACTTCGAGATACATGTTGGGTCGCGTCGGTTTGGCCCAGTAAAACTCGTATTTCTCATCGAACGTGCACGTGTGGGTGGGCTCTTCCAACGGACGCACCTCGGTCTTGTGCGTCGTTTGCGGCGCTGATGTTCCGTGCAGCATCGTATGGAGCTTGATGGGGCTCGTCGGTTCGGTGTTGGCCTCGACCAGCGACACGATGCAGTAGAGATCCACCGGGTCGTCAAACATCGCGACCAAGTTGCGCACGTGAAGCGAGACGACGCCAGGTCCAAAGACGCTTGTGGCTGGCACCTTCTCTTTTGGATCGTCGTCGGTCGTTGACGTGGCCGACGACGGCGAGCGCACGTCCGCCGCGGTTGTCGATGCTTGAGCGACGCTCGTGTCGATAGGGTACAGCTCGGGGTCCCAAAATGGCATGTCGAGCACTTTTGGCCACACCATGTTGTTGACAATGAGGTCGCGAAGGAAGGTTTGTAAGCTACGTCAGCATGAAGACGAGCTTAAACGCAGTTGTCGTCGTACAAGTCGGAGATGAACGGGACGTTGGTGACGTTGATTTTGGCGGCCGTGAGCGAAAATTCCATCCGCGGGTGGCTAGACATACCCATGAGCCAAGTACATTTCCGGTTTCTATACCTGATAAAGGACACGGATATACCCCTACACAACATTTGCAGAATAAGGCTCACATGCGTCTGTATGTATATATATGGCTGCAGACCCAAAGCCAGGCCAGACCGTCGCCATTGGCCGAAGCGTGATGCGCATTGTGCCCATCACAACAAGGTCCTTTAGGCGCACGCGGGCCGCCGCGCCAAGTTGGTGGGCGACTTTGATCTCTGCGAGCTGGTCGTCACCCGCTGCGAAGCGTACTTCAGCGTCCCACGAGATCTCCGAGACGGGGCCGTCGGGGAGTGCGTCGTCCAAGGGAATGCACTTGATGCCACCAAAGGACGGCGGTGACGAGCCCATGTCGACATTGATGAGCGATAGGGCAGAGATAAACGTGGGCTTGTTCGAGTCCAGGACGGGGTTCAGCGAGCTCATCATCGAGTTCTACCCGTGACATGGCCCTACAGCGCCGCCAAGAAATAGTGCTTCCATACCCGCATGGCCACTTTAATGTACGGCCAGCCGCTACAAGCGCACCAAGGTGTTGCATCGCAGGTGTTGTGAAGACAATATGTACCGTTCGATGGCTTTATTGAGCCACTCAGCGCGCTCGACATCTGCCACGTGACGTGAAATGACATGCCAGCAACATCCATTCGTTTGGTGGACCTACCGGAAAACTTGACCCAGCTCGGAAACTAACAAGACTTGGTGAGGTCCACGAAGAATCCACAACTCCACTGTACCTCGATCGACGGATAGTTGTGGTAGTTGGATTTCTCAGCCGCAGCCATGTGGAGGGCCTCGGCGCGAAGACATTTGCGTCGCACGTCCTTCTCTTCTGCAAAGTTCCACCCCAACAAGACAACGAGCAGCATGCCGATCCCGGGTGCGAGTCCACAGAGGGCCATCGTGTGCACCGCGAGAAACATGGCCAAAAGATGCCAGTAGCTCGTGGTATAGACAACGTTGGCAGCGTAAAAGCCCGCCAGCGCGATGGGGCACACGATGGAGAAGCCCAGCACGCCGGAGAGGACGCTAAGAACGAGGCCACCGCCTTTGTGCGAGATGGACGCGGCCATCATCCACACCCGACGACGACAAGCGGCCCAGAAACTTTGCATCGGCACGATGGGCGCAACCCCTGAGGTCTTTTGGTCGAGCACCACCTTGTCAAAGTTGCGCTGGCGCATGAGTTCGTTGCGATCTTCCAGCAGAATGAGCGTCGGTGACATGCTTGGTCGGGCGTCGGACGTGGCTTCCGACGAGAGCTTGGACTTGCGCGGATGGATCGCCCGGTTGAGGAGCGCCATGGGGCTGTTGCCGCTCTTGGAGATTAAGAACTTGGTCTTCTCCCCCGTGCTCGGGGCCAAAATGGACGGAAACTGGAGCTTCACCTTGGCCTTGGCCAACTCGCTGGGTGGCGACACGACCGTTGGTGAGAGCGCGCCGTCGCTGGCCCTTGCGCTCGGAGGCGTTTTCGACGACGGCGAAAACGGGTTGAGCTTGTTTAGGTTGAAGCCGGCCCAAAGCTCTTCTGCGCAAGTCTCAACCGTAGGATGTATCGCTGCATCGTCGCCGGACGACGCGCGCGACGAGCGTGGCACCTCCTCTTCTTCCAGGTCGGACTCGTTACTCATGCATCCATCGTCCGCGATCTGGTATGAACTGAGGCTGATACCAGGGCGGACAATGTCGGCCCCGACGACGCCGTCGTCCCCTCGCTTGGCCGCTCGGAGGATCGCGCGGCTAATGCACTTGACCCACAGAAGCGCGCGCTCAGGCTTTTCTCTCGAAATGCAAACGTCTGTGGCCGATAATGGATCGTCGTGCGCTTCGTCCAGGCTTGGACGTTCATGGTGAACATGTTGTCAGTGATGGTACTGTCGTCGCGTGGGTCGTAGCTCAGCGTTGCCTTGCAGAGCGAGAGGATGTAGATGGAGGTTGTCTTGGTGTCGTTCCTGCACACCATAATAGTACGAAGAATAGTATGCAGCAGCAGCATCGCTCGTCGTATTACGTACGTGAAGATCTCCATTCCCGGGCTTTCTGCGTTCACGACGACGTAGTAGCGCGACTTGCCAAGGAAGAAGAGGTTCTTGTCCTGTTTCTTGAGGTACACGCGCATGTAGCCTTCGACGACATCCGCGCGGATGGCGCGCTCCGACGACCGCTTCGAGAGCTTCGTCGACCCATCGTCCATGAGCTTTGCCTTCTCATGGCCCGGCAGCTTGTCCTTGAAGAGCGCATGGAAGCTTGGCATCTTGAAATTCTCCTTCTTCACGACGTGGCCCTCGTCCGTCCTGGCCTCGGTGCTCTTGCGGGTCGCATCCTTCGCATCCTTCGTATCCTTCGTATCCTTCGTATCCTTCGCATCCTTCGCATCCTGCGGGACCTACGAGAAGCATGGGTCCATGATCCTTCTCTTCCTCGTCCTCTTCCATCGCTTCCGCAGCATGAGCCTGGCCTACCGTCATCTCGGCGCGACCTCGCTCGTCCTTGGCGTCGTCCATCGAACTTGAAGAATTTGCACACTGCGGGCAGGCGTTACACGGTGAAACGAAAATGCTTGTGCTGTATATTAATATGCAACGTACGAACTGCATTTTAATCATATGGTGGTACAAAGTGCAAGAGAAGGAGTAAAAAAACACCATCACCTCGTTGGATTATATTACGAAACCGTGCTCTGATTGGCCAAAAAGATGATATCGGGGGTGCGGGTTTGCGTTCAATTTCCGAGTTTCGCAGAGATGCTGACCAAGCGGCAGCGCAAGGAGGCGCCACGCGCCGACGAGAGCCCCAGCAGCACCGACCTCGAGGAGGCCGAGGCTGCGCGCAAGCAGCGCCGGCGCGATCAGGTCCGGGTCAACCAGCGCAACCTGCGCCAGCGCCAGCGGATGCTCAACGGGCTCGAAGCAGACGTCAAGACGATCGAGCTCGAGATCGCTGAGTACGACAAGAACCTCCAGCAGCTGCGCAACCTCAGCGCACGCGACGACTTTATCGTGTCCAATTTCGCCCAGTACCTGCACTTGCACCTCTACGGCGTGCTGCCGACGCACCCAGGTCGCGTCTCGGAGCAGCGACGCATCTCGCGCTTCCTCTTCCGCGACGACGTCATTTACGGCGGCGTCGTTGGCCACTCGTACATTGAAGACCAATGGCTCAAGTGGGCGGGGTTCCACCCCAAGTTCAAGCTTGTTCCAACGGGGTTTGAGGTCATGCACAGCAACGAGTCGGCCGTCATCCGCGTCCCCGTCGAAATCACGTTTGTCATGACGCGACTTACGATCGAGGCCATGTACCCGCATATCCTCGCCCACGAAGGCATTGTTCAGCAGGTACGTCACAGCCTCCATCTGCGACTGGCGGACAGAAGAATCAGCATCACTTCCTCATACATCTTAGATCCTGGGGCATGAGTTCTCGACCCAAGCTGGCTTTATCGCGTACTATGATGAGTACGGCCAGATCGAGCGCATGGAGACGTGGGCCGACCTCGCGACGACCTTTTCGGAGGCGATCGGCACGCTCGGCGCCAGTGCGCTTCTCTCCGACTCCGAGTACCGTGACACGTCGCATATCCGTGGTGTCCAGGCGATCACGGCCACCTTGTACCGGCAACTTGAGGCCATGCAACTTGACGACGCCACGCCGCAAGGTACTAACTTCTACGTTGGCTATATACCCCAACCGCGCTGATGCCTCGTGTTAGATGCTGGCGTTGTCATGTTGTAATCAATCATTCATCCTCCTGATCATACACAAATCCATCTTATTATAAGGCGCCTCGCGTCTACCTCGTCGTGCACGCCACTCGTTGCCGACGACGTGGAGGTCGCTCCACACACTACAGTGTACAGGCAGTCACCATATGCCGGCAAGGTTGCTGTGCATCACAGAGTTGCGTGGCTGCCCACCTCGGTGTATACCACGATCTCGCCGCAGCTGCCTGTGGTAGTACACAACATGCAAGCCAGTCGGTCGTCTGCATGTCTAGGCTTCTCTCCGTTCGTCTCTCGCGCCCAGTGGTCGGACACGCTTCGAATCAGGCCCGTTCGACAGCTCGCATTACACCCGCGTGCTTTTCGACATGCAGCAGCAAGTCGACCACCAAGAGCTCCATGGCATCACGTATACACATCCATATCTAATCAAGAACTCGCCATTAGACCGCGGCCAAGCTGCTTGGTTGTCACGACCGTCTGCTGCGTGATCACGTTTGTGCCGCCGAATGATATCCCCACTCGGGTCAACTTGGATTGCCCTCTTGCTTGGTCCCATCCTACTCTGCCGCCTCTTACTAGAATGGATGAGCCCATGCGCTACATTACTGCCTTGCAACGGGCTCTTCTCGTTGTTGGGGACGAGTTGGGGAGGGGCAGCCACGGTTGACAAAACGTTGATGACGGGCTGTGGTGCGCGAATCCACTTGGCCATGCGCTACGTATACTCTTGAGAATCTAATTTTCTGTATTGTTTGTCATCGTCGCCTTCAACGAGAGGCTTCCGCGCCATCAGCTGTGGCCATGACGCCGAGTTACGCTCGTCTGCAACACATAATTCACCATCTTGCCATAGAGAACGACGCACCATTCTCTTGTATGACCAAAGGAGGCGCCCTTGCGATGCCCCATGCAAAATAGTAGCTTTTTCTGGGCCGAACGTCAAGTCCATCTTCTTGTTCGTCTCATCCGACACGCCTTGTACAGCAACAAGACCAACACCGACCTTCAACGACCATCCATGAACTTACATGAGAATTTCCATGTTGCCGCAAAGTTCGTGCATTTCTTCGACGTGATGATGCCCCGCGTCGGTGGATCATATCACGTGGAAGCAATCAACCCAGCCGTTTCGCCTGTCACGTGGGGCAAACGTCCACGCTTTTGGGACAAATGGGCAAAACCACAACCGCGGTTAGTCGCTAGTCGATGGGTTTAGTCATTTAGTCGATGCAACCGATCTTTAGTCGGTGCACGGTTGCGTGGATGAAAAACCGTCTGATCCGACGACGATGAGCCGCCGACGGTCGTACGGCTCCAGCGCCAACCCGACGCGCCACTTTGAGTTTGACGTGACCGATGAGACGCTCTCGGGGCGTACGTATAGCGCTCACTTCCGCGCCTGCTCATGCGTAGTACTATGCTCTAGCAACATGGGCGTTCCCGGGGTATGGCCACGCCGAGCAGATCGAGGTGCCAAAAGAAGAGCTCGAGCGCATCCGCCACAAGATGCAAAAGCCTCGCCACCTCCTCGGCGAGTGGCCGTCCACGGGCATCAGCGGCAACGACCTGCTCTCGAGCTGCCTCTACTCGTCGGGCATTGTGGCCTCGAAAGCCGGGAAGCTCGCGCCGATCCCGACGCTCATGGTCGCGTGCCTCATGTACCTCTTCCGCTTTGTCTACGTCGAGGTCGTCTCGGCGATTCCGCTCAACGGCGGCTCGTACAACACGATGCTCAACACGTCGTCGAAGCGCGTCGCGGCCATGACGGCGGCGCTCGCCATCATTGCGTACCTCGCGACCGGCGTCGTCGGCGCGGTCTCGGCCTCCGACTACCTCAAGGCCCAAGCCACGGATCTCAATTCGATCCAAAGTGCCATTGGTATTCTCTTTACGTTTGCCTTGCTCAACTTTCTCGGCATGGCCGAGAGCTCGGTACGCGGATCATGTTGTTCTCATCTGCATGGACACTACGTTCTTATTAGGTCATTGCACTCCTCATCTTCATGCTGCACATCCTCACCCTGTGCATCTTGATTGGCGGGTCCGTCGTCTATAGCGTCCTCTACCCCGAGGTCGGCGAATTCGCAGCCGAATACGGAGAGAACTCATGGCCCGTGCTAGGTCCTCCGCGACAACCTCGCCTCGGACCTCCCTGAGATTGACTTTTGCGGGGCGCTCATTGCGGGCACGCCGCTGCGCGCTATTTTTTTTGGCTTTTCATCGGCGATGCTCGGCGTCACGGGGTTCGAAACGGCGGCCAACTTTGTCGAGGAGCAAGAACCCGGAATCTTTCGCCACATCCTCCGCGTACGTTCGCGCCCTTCGTCCTATGCACCCGATGATACGACGACCGTCGACGTAGAACATGTGGGCGCTCTCGTCCTTCTTCAATGTGACGCTGTCGCTGCTCAACTTGAGCGTCCTCCCGCTCTTTGGCCCCGACGGGTCGATCGCGAACAACAACATTGTGCTGGCGCTCATGGCCCGGCGCGTCCTTGGCCCTTGGTTCGAGCTCTGGGTCACCATTGACGGCTTTATCGTGCTCGCGGGCTCGGTGCTGACGTCGTATGTGGGCATCACGGGCCTTGTCCGGCGTCTCGCGTGCGACCGCGTGCTGCCCGAGTTCCTCTTGAAGGAGAATGCGTGGCGGGGCACGAACCACTACATCATCTTTTCGTACTTTGCCGTCGCGTCGAGCTTGGTGCTCGTACTCCACGGCGACATTGTCATGCTCTCGAGTGTCTTCTCGTACGCGTTTCTCGGCCTCCTCGTGCTCTTCTCGGCCGGCGCGATCCTCTTCAAGGTCAAGCGCAGCCACATGCCCCGCGAGACGAACGCCGCTTGGTACACACTCCACTTGCATACTGTCGGAGGATGACAGTATTCGTGTCGTCGTACTAGGTGGAAGTGCATTGTCGCCTTCATCATGGTCGTCCTCGGCTTCCTCGGCACATTGCTCGGCGACCCGCGCGTCTCGCTCATCTTTGCACTCTACTTTCTCGTCGTCGTCGGCCTCATCTTTTGCATGCTCGAGCGGCTCTGGCTCCTCCGCTTTGTCATTTTCATCATGCGCACTCTGTGCCCGTCGCGCCGCGACCGCCGTCTCGACGCGACCGACGACGACGAAGAGAGCCCGGACGATGCAGAGCTACTGCTGCCGCGCACGGGAGCCCGTGGTGGCCGCACGATCCTCAAGGTACGACGACACAGGCAGTTGCATAGATTTACCGGTGGTGTCCTAGATCATGAAGAGCATCAACGCGCCGCCGACGGTCTTCTTCTGCAAGCACATGTCGCTGTCGCTGATCAACAAGGCGGTCATGTACGTGCGCATGAACGAGCAGACCGAGACGCTCAAGATCGTGCACGTGCACAAGCCCAACACGTCGGTGCCCCAGGGCTTTGTAGACCTGGTCGCGGTCTTTGACCGCATGTACCCCAAAATCAAGGTCTATCCATGGTTTTTTGTTTCAACTCCAAAACCCAAAATTGGTACCTTGATAGATTGACTTTATCTCGATCGAAGGCGTCTTTGAACCGGCGCTTGTCCAATGGCTCTCCGAGACGCTCAACATTTCGACCAACATGATGTTCATCCGCCAACCCGACAACATTGACGCGCACAAGGTGTCGCTGCTCGGCGTCCGCGTCATCACGGGCTAAGAACCGCTTGTGCTTCTTCATATATGCCACAAAAGAGATGTCATTCAATCGTTGCTGCGTCAAGTTCACGCCTGATAGTGCTGCTTGTGGTGCACATTTAAAGCCCAAAGCGAGAAATGTGTGCTCTACATTGTAGTAGCTCTATTCTAGCGATCTTCGGCAGCGATTGGATCGCAAGGATTCCTGGGAGCTCGTATTTGGGTCACTTTTCTCTGGACCAGATCGAAGGTAGCCTCATGGTGCGGTACCTCGTGACATGAGTGACATGGACCAGGTTGCTCAAGTTGAAGTTGGATCCGAGCATGAGCTCATTTGGTCCGGAGCATATCGACGATGTCGAAATCCCTCCAATTCGTCAGCGCACTTTATCAGGACTCTATAAATAGTGTGTGTTGGCGTGTTTGGCTTCCTGCCTCGAAGATACCACCATCGATGAGCCTATGGATGATGAATGATGCAACACGCCGAAGTACTTGCTCCTGAGAGCAGTGTCGAGAAAGGATTCAAAGCATCGGCAAACGCCAAGGATATCGGTCGACGTATACACACACTATTTGAAGTGCTTAGGCTCGTTAAAGTACGATGTACGCTATGTTCGATTCTTGGAATTCCCAGAGGATCGGGCAAAGTGCAAAATGACCGCGTGGAGTGATACGCAGTCGGCGACGTTAGCCGCGGTCGTCGACACGTTCACGGGGCCGCTGACCGTCAGCGATGCGAGCCGCCTTGTCACCGAACACCTTGCGACGCTGCGCGACCATGCGGCGCCGCACCAGACGCAGACGCGCGACGGCCTCATGGCGTTGGCGCAGGTGGACCCGATGGAGCTTGATGTGCTCGAAAGCTTCAAGACGCTCTTGAATGACCTGCCCAAAGACAAGGTGCGGGACATCTCGCGCGTCTTGGATTTGCTCGCGACGGGCTGGGGCACAATGCTATTGACGGGCAGCCGCATGGCGCCCTTTCACGAGCTCGACCGCCTCGAGCGCGAAGCCGCCATGAACACCCTCGCGCGCTCGCGTCTCTCGATTGTCCGGTCGCTTTTCCTCGCTTTCAAGGCGCTGACCGTCTTACCCACGTATGCAACGGCCGCGACGGTCGACGGGGCGCCAAGCCCGTTCTGGGCACCGCTCGAGTACCCCGGTGTGCCCGCGAAGGACCCCGAGATGGAGCCGGCGTGGGTGCCACGCTTTGAAGAGTACGATTGCAGGAAATTTAATTTGCTTCTCAGTCAGCGGTGCTGCGATAGCATCGAGGCGCTCGCCAAGGAAGCGGGTGACGGCAATCCCATCGAGCTCGAAACCGACGTCGTTGTCGTCGGGTCGGGCGCAGGCGGCGGGGTTGTCGGTACGCCTCACCTTTCTCATACATCGCCGTCACGATCTTCAACTAGCGGCGGAGCTCGCCCAGGCCGGGTACCGCGTTCTGGTGCTTGAGAAAGGCGTCTACTACAACCCGGTCGACGACCCGTTCACGGAGCTCGAGTCGCTCCGTCAAAAGTTTGAAAATGGCTGCATTGTCATTCCCGACGACGGCTCCGTGCTCTTCCTCGCAGGCGCTACATGGGGTGGCGGCACTGCAGTCAACTGGTAATGCAATCAACAGTTAGTGCAGCGATGCGCACGTGTGCATTAGGTCGGCGTCGTTCCGGCTGCCGTACAATGTCCGGCAGGAGTGGGCAACCCAGCACCGCCTGCCGTACTTTGCGTCGCCCGCGTACGAAGCCGCGATCAACGCCGTGTGGGCCCGCGCCGGCGTCTCGGACAGCCATTTTTGCCACAGCGGCGCCAACCAGGTCCTCGAAGACGGCGCGACGGCGCTCGGCATGGGCGTGGCCAAGATCGCGCAGAACACCAACGGGGCCGCGCACGACTGTGGCTTCTGCAACCTCGGGTGTCCCACAAGCGAGAAGCAGAGCTCGGCCGTGACGTGGCTCAAGGACGCGCAAGACGCGAACGCCAAGTTCATTCAAGGCTGCCACGTCGATCGCGTCACGTACTCGCACGAGAAGATCGCGACCGGTGTCGAAGCAACGGTCTTGAATGGGTCGGTGAAGCTCATCGTAAAGGCATCGACCGTCATTGCTGCCGCCGGCAGCCTCCACACCCCGGCGCTGCTGCTGCGGTCGGGCTTGACCAATCCGAACATTGGCAAGCACCTGCGGATCCACCCCGTCTCGAGTGTCCATGGCTTTGTCCCGTCCAAGCTTATCCAGCCTTGGGCCGGTGCCATCATGACGTCCGTGTGCACGCAGCTTGCCGACCTCCACGGTGACGGGTGCGTCGTTTGATCGATTGTGATACGCGAATCCACTGGTGTCGCTAGCTACGGCGTGCGCCTCGAAGTCCCGTCCAGCATTCTCGGTATGCTCTCGACGATCCTGCCCTGGCGCAGCAACGCCGACCACAAGCGCCTCGTGATGCAGTACCCCCGCACCGCGTCCTTCATCGCGCTCGTCCGGGACTGCGACACGGTGAGCCGCGTCACCATTGACGCCGACGGTACGCAGCAGAAGCAAAGCTCGTCTCCATGACGCGTGTAGGGCGTCCGCGAATCAGCGTCTCGCTCGGCAGCAAGGACGCGCTCTCGGTGCAAGAGGGCTTGATCGCCGGCGCCAAGATCTTGCTGGCCCAAGGCGCTGTCGAAGTCAACACGACGCATTTCGACTTGCCGCCGCTCCAGCTCCGCTCGAAAGACGACTTGGCCAACCCGATCGAGTGTGCGACAACCCAAAACTGGTTTGCGCTCGTGCGTGCAAGAGGCGTCGTCCAGAACCGCATCGGTCTCTTCAACGCGCACCAAATGGGCTCGTGCCGCATGAGCGCGTCGCCAGACGACGGCGCCGTCAACCCCGACGGCGAGACGTGGGACGTCAAGGGCCTCTACGTCGCGGATGCCTCGCTCTTCCCGACGTCGTCCGGCGTCAAGTACGTCCCATTCAATAGAACCCTATCGCGCCTCACTTCCAATATTTGACGTAGCCCCATGATGACGACCTTTGCGATGGGGTACTCGGTCGCCCAGTTTATCAAGGCCAACCTCGCGGCCGAAAAAAGTCACCCGACCGGCAAGCTACGCAAAGTATGGCCGGCGACGCCGTGGTGGCAGCGCGTCTTTCGCGATCCAACGGCCTTCGCGGTCGTCGCGCTGCTGTGGCTGCTGGGCGGCAAGCACTTTTGGACCACACGCCTCCGGGCCCTTCTCGGTCGCCCTTAAGTGTGCATGTCGGACTTGCCTTTTGCACATTGTCTTGTCACGCCTCGTAGCCCATGCACAAACGACAGGACGCACCCGAGATCTTAGTCTGCTACTTCGATCAGTCTACAATAATGTAACGTTCAGTCCACATACCGGTCTCCATCGATCGTAGACCAGTCTACACAGATGACGACAATGGAGCTCGTTGTGTTAGCATGCGGTTTTGACGACGGCAGTGTCTCCATCAACGTACTGCTGAGATGTAGTACGTACCAAGCATGGCAGGTTGGTGCGTGTGCCCTTTCGCGGCATGTCGATCTTTCCGGATGCCACATCCGAATTCAGTGCCATGGCCTGCGGCCTGTCGCCCGAGATGGCGGCGATGCTGGCGCAGATGTCCAAGGAGAAGGAGCGGGACGTGCACATGTCGAGCGAAGAGCTGGCGGCGACGGTCGAGTACAACAAGAAAGTCCAGGACCGCTACAACGAGGTGCAGGCCAAGCAGGCGGCGTCCGCGGGCTACGACTGGACGCGTCCGTACGAGAAATGGGAAGCGTGGGAGGACCCTGAAGACCTCGCTGCGAAAGAGCGGGCTGCGCGTGAGAAGGCCGAGCACGCTGCCATGCGGCAGTCCTGCAACCATGATCATTCCGCGGAGCAGAAGCTCATGGACATGACGACGGTCGCCAAGATGGACAAGTGCGACCACTTTCGTCGCCTCGGCAACCGGTTCTTTGCCCACGCGCAGTACCAGCGCGCCGCGTACCACTACCACCGCGCGCTCATTTACTTCGAGTACATGTTTAGCGATACGGACGCCGAGCAAGCCGAGGTACACTGGTCCCTTGTTGTTATGACGGCCACATCGATGCATCTACTAGATGGATGCGCTGAAGAAGCGCATTCTGCTCAACTTTGCGCTCTGCCGCCTCAAGACGCGCCATTTAGACCAAGCGCTGCACCACGCAACGTTGGCCCTCAAGCTCGACGACGCCAACGTCAAGGCCAAGTACATTCGCGCGGTCGTCTACCGCATGCAAGACCACTTTGACGACGCCCAGCACGAGCTCGACGCTGCGATCGCGCTGAGTCCGAATGACGCCGCGTTGACACAGGAACTGCGGACGCTCTTGGCCAAGAAGGCGGCGTACCGCGTCAAGAGCAAACAGCTTGGCGCTGCCATGTTTCAAACGGGCCAGCCGAGAGCCCGCGTCGCCAGCCGCAGCGCGAGTCTCTTCCAGGACACGAGTCTCCAGCGGGCGCTGGACCTCGAGTTGCGACCAGCGACGGGCGCCATGATCAACGAGATTGAGAGCTGGCGGCCGTCGGCGTCAGGGTCAGTAGCGATGACCGCCTTGCTCGCGCAGCTCTCGGGCGACAATGACATCGACGCTACCCTCCTCGTCAGCCCGACGGCGTAGCCATACTATCTCGCAGCACATACTATCAAGACGACACGGACTCGATGGGAAAAAAGCGTGTTGAGATATAGAAAAAGGTGTCTAAAATAGGGGCTCTAACCGAGATACGGAACTTCTTACTCGTCCGCGTACTTGAACGAGTTGGACTTCATGTCGATGGCGCCGCAGAGGTACGTCGAGCGCTTCTTCTTGTTCTTCTCGCGCGTAAAGTCCTTGCCGCGGACCTGGATCAAGATGTTGTTGGCCTTGCTACCGACGCCAGCGTCGCCAAACGTCGCAGCGTACGAGTTGTCGCGGAGCGTGTCGTCAATGATCTGCTCGCTCCAGTACTCACCGTCGACGCGCTTGAACGGCACGCCCTTCTCCTTCGCCTGCGCCACGTTCTTGGGCGCGTCCATCTTCTTGGGCGTCCATGCGGCTGCCGCCGCCGCCGCCTGCGCGCGACGCGCCTTCTCTTTTTCAATCTCATCTTCGTTTTCCGATTCCGATGACGAGTCCGAATCCGAGTCGGACGACGACGACGAATCAGAGGACGACGACGACGACGAGTCCGAGTCCGACTCGACCTTGGCCTTCTTGGCCACCGGCTGAGCTTTCTTGCTCGGCGCAGGCGCCTTGCGCTTGGGCGCAGGAGCCTCGTCTTCCGAGGACGACGACGAAGAGTCCGAGGACGATTCGGCCTTCTTGGCGGGCGCGGCCTTCTTGACGGGGGCCTTCTTGGCGGCAGGCTTCTCGTCTTCCGAGGACGACGACGAGTCCGAGGACGACGACTCAGCCTTCTTGGCGGGCGCCGCCTTCTTGACGGGCGACTTCTTGGCGGCAGGCTTCTCGTCTTCCGAGGACGACGACGAGTCCGAAGACGACGACTCAGCCTTCTTGGCAGGCGCCGCCTTCTTGACAGGCGACTTCTTGGCGGCAGGCTTCTCATCTTCCGAGGACGACGACGAGTCCGAGGACGACG